CTTTCATTCAATATTATTTTAATTAGAGACTCAATATTTATAGTTATATAAATAAATGAGTATTGAATGATTTTTAAAATTCCCCCATACTTCCTTCCGTTTTTGATGATAATTGGTACTTACCTATTTATAATATAGTACATTATAAATTAAAACATGAAAGCTGGGGAATTGAGCAAATTAACCCATTGCTAACGGCGCTTAGTAGGATGAAATCCACCATTTTGGCCCACCTGTTAAACCAGCGGTAAGAATCGGAAAGAAATGTGCAAGTAGTTTCGGATGCTGGCAAGTGATAGTGAGTTCAAGGCAGAGGCCACCAAAATATTTAAATTAAAATAAAAGAAAAATTAAAAGTTGAGTGTGTAATTCTGGAATTTTGGATAGCAACAGTCAGCAGTTATTCAAAAATCAGTGTGTGTAGAAATAGAATGTGATAGAAAAAAATTTTAAGCTATTCATTTTTTTTTAAATTAACAGTAAGTTTTGTATTATATTTTATTATAATGTAGAAAATAATATAGGAAAGCCATCTGTACCATTCCCTTCATCTATTAATAGCTTTTTTATAAGCTTGAAATTTTTGGAAAGGTTTTTTTTTTTTTTTTTTTTTTTTTTTTGAAGTTGACGCTTTTGTTACTTTAAATTAGNCAAAAAATAATTTTTAATCCTTTTCGAATGAAAGGTTAAAAACTGCATTATTTTTGCTTTATTGAAAAAAGGTTTTCAGTACAAACATTTTCGTGACAATAAAAAGCAAGGTTGTCGTAAGGTTATTTGCTTTCTGGGTTTTTAGTGGTATAACAGAGATATTTATGTTTTTAATTTTCAAGTTTCCACAAGAAACACTCACATGTCACCCGTACAAAATTCATGTACAAAATCCATTTTGACAACGCTGTCTTAACCACCATATATTCTATTTCCTGAAATTGCGCAATTATTCGCTTTTAAACTTATAATAATGGTACATAGGCATTTGTTTTACGTCTTAAACATTCTTTAGTATCATTCTAAACAGAATAATTTAGAATAGGTGGAAACGGACAGCAAAATGATATGATCATATGCCTGCTCACTAATGTCATGAAAAATTAGAAGCTGATTCATTAGGCGAGGCAAAATTTGGATAAGTGGAACATGCTCTACTGTCATCAAAGGGACATGACCGAGAATTTGGATCATCATTTACACGATCCAAGCTCCAAGCAAACTAAGCTTAATTTATTAATTTCAATCGATCTTGGTTCCAGAACTTGGATAGTGTAAACAGGTCTTTTGGTCCCGCTGAAGAGGATTTAAGAGCTGATATTTTTATAAAAAATGCAAATAACTTGTTTAAAAAATATGAAATTAAACGGTGTTACTATTCGGATGCCATCTGGGAAGAAGACCGGTTCCATGTCTTGATCCTCCCCCCTTCTCTCTCCTCCTCGTCTAAGTTATATAGGAATGTATTACGACTTCGTATTTAGTTGCAAAAAATGTTTGTTTGTTTTTTTAATTTCTACGAAGCTTTCGCTTAGAACTATGTTTAATGTAATTTTCAATTCCATATAGTATCATAACTTTAAAATCTATCTGAAAATTAAGACAGAAACTAACGTACTTTTTTCTCCTATGACTCTCCACACGCTAATGGCGAAAACACTCGAAGTGTTGCCATAGGTAGAGAGTTCTACTCGACGAAACCTATAGCCCACTTTGATTACCAACAATCATGTTTTTTTTTTCAAATGTTTTTTAGGAAGTTTTTTTATAAGGATAGCAATTAAGTTTCAATAGCTTTTCGATTATTTCCTAAGATATAGCGCCTGAGAATTACTTTTAAAGAATAAAGTACACTACCAAAACCTGTGTGCCCCCACTATAGGGAAAAATCATAAATTTTGTGATACATCTAGAATTGTCATGGGGGCGGGGGATATTTGCCCGACAGGTCTGTGCTATAGGGATATTATTCAGAAAAACCATTAATTAAATGTGAAAAAAAAAATTTAGTAATACATTAATATTGAAAATTAAACACAATGATTTTTATCATAAATTTCACAAATAGATGAATGGTTCCCTTTTGGATGAGTATCTGATGCAAGCTTTCTAAATACCAGATCTTAGATCCCGAACATCTAGGTTCAAAGAGAGACGTTGCTTTACTATTTAAAAAATAAATAAATGATCCCTGGAAAATTTAAAAATAAAATTTTGAAATAAAAGGTAATTTGGAGCAATTAACTTTGTAAATAAAATTTGGAAAGCTGTAATCTCGAAAATCTGTTTCCCATTTAAAGCTGGACTAAGGACAATGGGTTCTTTTTAATGGTCCTAGCACTAAGGCATCACAGAATTCAAAAGAAAAAAAACCTTTACAAGAAGAAAAAAAACAAATAGTGCGATTTGTTTTAAAATGACAGTATGCGAAACTAATAAAAATTAGGCCCCGTTACTATTTAGTAATTATATCTTTCTATATTTTAAATTGTGGTGGTCCTGAAAGAGTGGATACCACCTCTGGAGAACGCACTAGGTCTGCTCATCGGCAAGACCGATTGTGCAGCTCATTGGAAATAAAATATTTTAAATGAATCCTGCTTGGATCCATGGTTAAGGTACTGAGTAATCACTGTGAAAAACTAGGAATTTGTAAAAATTTGAGGCCCATTCAGTTTCAAATTGATGTGGAAATATTTTACTTTTATATAAACTTTAACTTTAATTTTATATACTTTAAAAAGAAGATATATACTTTAGAAGTTGCTGAGGCGACTGTCGATTTTTCTACAAAATTTTGCACATCTCTAACAAAGTGTTTAATGAATATGAATAGATCATTATAAAAACTGATCATGATTTAAATAATTGAAATCCCGAAATGTCAAAAAATACTTACATTTCTTGCTGTGTTCTAGAAGTATCTGGTCCAGGCATGTTCATTTTGGCCATGACCAAACAAACTACTTTCATTCAATATTATTTTAATTAGAAACTCGATATTTATAGTTATATAAATAAATGAGTGTTGAATGATTTTTAAAATTCCCCCATACTTCCTTCCTTTTTTGATGATAATTGGTACTTTATATATAATATAGTACAAAATAAATTAAAACATGAAAGCTGGGGAATTGAGCAAATTAACACATTGCTAACGGCGCTTAGTAGGATGAAATCCACCATTTTGGTCCACCTGTTAAACCAGCGGTAAGCAAAATGTTAAAGCGAAATGGGTGAGTAAGAAGATCGGAAAGAAATGTGCAAGTAGTTTCGGATGCTGGCAAATGATAGTGAGTTCAAGGCAGAGGCCACCAAAATATTTAAATTAAAGTAAAAGAGAAATGAAAAGTTGAGTGTGTAATTCTGGAATTTTGGATAGCAACAGTCAGCAGTTATTCAAAAATCAGTTTATGTAGAAATAGAATGCGATAGAGAAAAATTTTAAGCTATTCATTTTTTTTAAATTAACAGTAATTTTTGTAGTATTATATTTTATTATAATGTAGAAAATAATATAGAAAAGCCATCTGTACCATTCCCTTCATCTATTAATAGCATTTTTATAAGATTGAAATTTTTGGAAAGGTTTTTTTTATTTATTTTATTTTTTTTTAAAGTTTATTTTTCTCAATACACGTGAACTACCTTATGCATTTGTAAGGTTTAAATACATATCTTCAAAAAAAAATTGTCAATATGCTTTCATTTGTAATTAATTTCCGATGAGGGAATTCTTCAAAATACAAGGATTTGAGATTCTGTTCCTTTTAAATGATTTTATAAAAATTTCCAAATTGTCAAAATGAGAAACTATTCTAAAAACTAATTTAAAATTTTGATGCAACATTTTAATTTTTTCGATCATTCTTTTTGTGGCATATCACTCTTATACAGTAGGATCTTCTTACTTTAAACAGCTTGTATTTTATTCTTTATATTTTTTGCGATCAATTAACCAGTCATCTACATATTTACCAAACCTTGTGAAAATTATGCCGATTAAAAATTTTAACTTAAAATTGGCGATCGAAACGGTCTGCAGGTGGCGTAGAGAAGAACTCTTTTCCTATGGTAACACTTCACATGCTTTCCCCATTAGCGTGTGGAAAGTCATAGAGGAAGGAAGTACGTTAGTTTCTTTCTTGATTTTCATATAGATTAAAATCTTTTAACTTGAAAAACTATATGGAACTGAAAACTACATTAAACATAGTTCTAAAGAAAAGTATCACGGAAATTTTAGAAAATATTTTCATTGAGTAAAAAGGAAAAATATTAAAAAAAAAGGGAAAATATCGTAGTACATTCCTATATAACTGAAAAGAGGAGGAGTGGGAAGGGAGAAGGGCTAAAGGCATGAAACCGGTCTCTCCCCAGATGGCGTATTCGAGTGTTGCTCTCGCGAATACTTTTTTCAGTACTTTTCTATTTGACTGACACAGGCAACTAAGTCGCCAACCCAAAATCACCGGGGGTAAGCAAATTTAAATGTTTTCTGTCTGCTATTCTTTTCGCATGAGCATGAATATCTGATCGGCGAGTTTTCAACGGGCAAAAATGTTTCAAAAATCAGATTCTTATTATCAGCGGAAAATCAAAGCACCGAAGAGATAATACCTTTGCATGTTGTTTCCGATTATTCGTATACGGGTCAAAGCAGTCGCATTAAATGTGAATAATATAGGTTGCCAAACAACCTTTGGCGTCAGAATATCCTTGGTTCCGTATTTCAATATCAGAGAGCAAATTTGTCGGTTTGCCATGATAGCAAAAACGCCGGCTGCTAAAGCAATTTTTATTTTTAAAGAGGAATTCTCTTTATCCTATTCACTATTATTTAACTCCGACCATAACTGAATAAAGCGTGAGTTTTTGTTTTGAATTATTTAAAATCATTCCAAAACAAAAACACGACAAAACGATTGAAGAAAGATTTCTATTTCCTTACTGTATTAACTTTCTTTTGACTTAAACAAATTTGATTTTTTTGTATTACGATTATAAAGATGGCGACTTATTTTGGTGAAATTCAGGAACTTGTATCTCGAGCTACTGACTTCGATGATTTGGATGATCAACCAACTTACAATTTAACAGCCGAAACTTCCAAAAATTACAGTGCTAATTTCAAATGCGACTCTTTAATATTTTGTATTGGTGACATAGCGAAATGGTTTTCTAGCTGCTATCTTATTTCCGATAATGCTCAACATATATTGAATGTTAATTATAGCTCTGAATCCATTAAAGATAATTCATTATTGTATGGAGGAAATACTAAAACTAATAATAAAGCATCTGCGGCATCTCTGTATTACGTAAAGCCAGATGTTGCTGTCTGTGAAATTCCCTTCAATGTACCTGAAACAATTTATACTGAATTGCTTCAACTTATTCTTCAACATGTGCAATGTTCCAATGCTATTGTGTTAGCTTCAGCTCCATCTGCAACTTTAAAAGGAGATTCTGTGTCAAATTCGGATGAATGTAATCTTATGTGCTTGACTACTTCTGCTTTTGATCCACCTGAAAATTTTAATTTACCTAGAATTCCGTCTCCAAATTTTGTAAGTGGTATTCCTGCAGCTGTTTTGACTGAATTTGAAATTCAAAAGAAACCGGCAATTTGTGTTGTAAGCTACATTGAATCAAATATTATAGACTATGCCAGTGTTCAAAGTTTTGAAAATGTAGCTTCGTTGGTTCCCGTCCGAAAGATTATGAATAAAGATTGTAAACAAAAGTTATTAAACTATATCAACAAACATTCTTACTCGAATTTATACATTTAAATATTTGTGATTAATTTTGTGATACTATCAAAAAATTTCTTTATTGATTAAACTGCATCAACTATAACATACCCCATACTGATAACTTTTTAAACGCCATGTGCAACTTTAAAAAGATACCCTCTGTTTTGACAAAATTTTAAATTCATAAAAAACAATGAGTTTATGATGTGAGCTACATTAAATCAAATGTGTGATTTGAAAATATAACTTCATGGCATGCCATAAAAAGAAATTATACTCCAATTCTAACCATAAACATGTTACATTTTTTATTATTTAATAATCTGTTATGATCTAAAAATTAAGTATGGCATTACTTTATTTATGATTGTATAATTAAATCTAGTAATTGCTGCTTACTTTGCTTTATTTTATCATTTCTTCGTATGATGTATTTACTTTTTTCATAAATAAAGAAACTTGTTTTTACAATGAAAAGAGCTGTTTTGTTAAGGTAATACTTAAACTAGAATTTTTAAGCAGGTTGAATGACTCAGAATTGTTATGGTTTGAGTGTAAATGGCTAAAATCAATTTTCTCTTATGACAGGGATATTTCCTTATCGTGATCTGTTGCGTCAACTACAATTGCTAAGGTGCCAAGTAGATTTTAAACTTGCAATTTTTTTTAAAAAAACATGTAGATGTTTGCCTGGGGTGGCTAGGAGTTATACTTTTCTAGTTAGTCCCTTTCTGTGATGTTTTTTTTTTTTTTAGTTTCTGTCAGGCCTCTACCTGGAAGATACCAAGACTTGGCGATTATTCTGCCACAGATCAGGATACGGAAATCTCCCCAAGGTAATACTTAAATTTGAATTTTTAAACAGGTTGATTAACTCAAAATTGTTACGGTTTAAGTATAAATGGCTATAATCAATTTCCTGTTATAACCTTACTCAATAATTTAACATTTTCTATATTTCTGTTGCCTACTAGAAGGAAGGGATAAAAACATTTTTAATTATAAAATAAATAATGCAGGATATTCTTATTGTTTTCTTATACAGGGTGCGTAGCATTTTTAAAAATTGCTTATTCTCGTTTTTTAAATGCCCTTAAAGGTGCTTTATCTCATTGGGTGTAAGTGCTTCTTCTTTCCTTTTCGAAAATTAGATTATCTATTGAGGCGTCCCTTAGGTCCATAGCATTTGAAAGCACCATTCGTTTGACATGTTTTGATGAATACTTGCGAGTTCATGTGTACGTCTAATGAGCTGGGTTCAGTAAGATTCTTGTACTCTCGTGTGCAACTCCGTTGCATTTTGCAGGATATTCTCAATTTCAGGGTTCATTTTTCACCCTTAATATAATCAAGAAAGGAGATCTTTGTCAGAAACTGGTTATTTTATCATTATCATGTTAGTGTATATGGTGCTTAAAAATATTTTTTGAGTGCTTAAAAAGTGCTTTTTTTGGGGGGGGGGGATTTGGCTGCTCGCCCTGTTATACAGACTTTATTTACATTTTTTTTACTTTTTATTTATTCTCAATTTTAAAACCTTTTGTACAAGAAATTTAATTTTATTTAACAAAATTCAATTTATTGAGGGAAAAGGAGTCTTATTTGGTACAATGTTATAAATGGAATAGAAAGTAATCTTTCAGAGGAAGATTTTTTTTTTATTATTTAATTAAGGATAAAACCGTCAATTGTCAAAAGCTTGCCAACCCTGCCTAATTATACTTTTTTATAAGTGCTTAAAAATATTTTTGAGTGCTTCAAAGGTGCTTATTTTTTGTTGAAAAATTTTGCTATGCACCCTGATAAAATTTCTTAGTTTCGTTTGATTTTTTTAATTGAATATTCTGATTTTTCTTTCATAAAATACTAGCTAGAATAGTTAAAGTACCACAAAAGTTGGTGCACTACCCCAGAGGTGAGGTACACAATGCATTTTCCTTAACAATGAATTGCAATTATTGTTGTAAAAAAGTAAAATACGATAAGAAAGGTTTAAAGAATGTTTAATAAGTTTTTCAGGGATATTGCTTTATTTTTTGTTTAAAAAATTTTAAAATTCATAAGTGGGCTACAGTGCCCTGTCTTCCCCTATACATAAAATTCTTTACAAGATTAGAATCCTTAATTAAACTTTAGTCTGTTATAGTAAATTTGAACATTTTTGAATAATTACTTTTACTTGATATTTTAACTTAAGTTATGAAACTTGGCTTTAAATTTTTATCGACTAAATGTTATAGCTTTTCACTTCTATAAATAGCATTTAATTAAAAAACATTGTTAATAATAAACATGTTACACCCAAAATTGCCTTTATAAATGTTTTTCAACTATACTAAGTGTTTACTCAAGTTTCTTCTTTTTTGTTATGACATAAGACCACATTAATTTTTTGTTTATAGTTTTTTATGGACTCAATAATTCAAGTTCATATAAATATTCTTTGATTTATGTAATACAGAATTTAATTCTATGACAATTTTCTGAAGCCACTGTTAATGAAAAGACTAGAAAGTTAACTGAGCAAGCAACTAGCACATGGTAGTATTAAAAGGCCAACTCCTACCAGCTTTCCTCTGTACCTATGAGAGGTGCAATTATTTTCTTTTTTACATGATGGAGGCTAGAAGGATGACCCCTAGATAAAACGAAGGGGAAATAAAGAATTGATAGATTATAGAGACTGGGTGGATAGATTTATGCAAGCCTTTTCTTTCTGTTTTCCAAAATTTCCGCAGAATATTGCATCACATAGCGTGTCAATGTACCTGAAATATTGCTTGTGTGAAGCTTACAAGTTTTAGCCAACTGGTATCATATTGCGGCACATCAAACAAAATTCCACGTAACTATCTACTAGCATGTAAAATCAAGGAGAAATTTTATGTGATATTTTCATCCAGAAGTATCTTTTTTATTAATCTCTTATTTACCCATCAAGTCAATAACATATATAAAAAAAATAGTCACTTTTTTAAATTAATATATTAAAAGCTAGTTTATTGTATTAGTACGAAAAAGGCTATGATGGAAATTAGACCAATTGCACCAAAAAGTTTTTCGCTGATACATCTGTCAAAAAGGAGACACATGAAGGGAAAATAGAATTGTCTTCAAATAATTCAGCTTTCTGATACCAACTAAATTTAAAAATTTTAGTTCATATTTAGTTCATATCATTTAGCTTTTAGAGTAAACTATTTCTTTAGAACCCTTGGAACATTTACAGTGGCACTCACAGACATATCACTGAAATCGTAAAAAATTTTAAAATGTATAAGAAAATCAAAGTTAGTACTGTAAATGTATTTATTAAAACGATAAATCACAGAAAAAAAACTAAATTTTTCTTATTGCTATTTTGAAAACTAGTTTTTTCTCCCCCTTGATAATGGCACTCTTTTTAAAGTTAGCTACCAAACATAAGACATACCAATGATTTGCAACATTCCATATGACAATCCCTATAGGTCATACCAGCCTCCAAGAGAGGTTTGACCAGGTTTTTAGTCTAATTTTAAACTATTCTAAGAAAAAAATATTGTTAACAGATGAAGCATAAGCTATCACATATTACAACTAGAAAGTTATCCCACTATCAATCATGCTTAAAAAATAATATTTTCATGAAAATTAAGATTAGTTTACATTTGAACAATTTATAAATTATGCGCACTGAAGTGGCAAATTTTTATAAGAGTGGTTTTCGATTGCAATTCTTAATAACAAATTGAATTTTTTTCCTTACCTATCATAGGAGTTTTAAACAAAATGTGCATCCATATTTGCTAACATACAAATTGCTTTTAACATAAAGAGTGTTTTATTAATATTCTGCAACAGTATTCTGCAACAGTCTAAAAATTATGGTTTTCTGTTCAACTCATTTCACTTTTTTGTAATCTAACTACTGATTTCTTATTCGGCTGCACACCTCTTAAAAAACTGGAAAATAAGAAATAGTACATAATTTATCAAGCTTCTATGAATAAAATTATGTGGTTTGAAAAAATTTAAAACTTTTTTTTTAAATATGATTTTATTAGTTTATACTAATGAAAACTCATCTAACATTAGCTGCGCAAAACCAAACTATCTAAATGCATACAACAGTATACCCCTGTGGCAGAAATTTTTCGAACTGTCAGTGACATGCGTCTCTAATACTAATTTTACTACAAGGTACTCTTAAAAATAACAAATATACATGATACTAACTTAAAGTAACAGAAGCGTCAACTTCAAAAACAAAAAAAATCTTTTCGGTTAAAATACAATATAACTTTTTTTACTTGAAAATGTAATATTTTTTTATTCTAATATTATAGTTGATATTCTCACATTTTGTATTTCACTAATTATTTCCTTTTTCGGAATTCCGCACAGTAGCAGTAACTACCATAAAAAAGAATAGATGGCGAAATCATACGAGTTAACTTTTTTTGGAAAAGTGGTTACTAAATGCATGTTTTCATTTCGAGATACAGTTGTTGTAATAAACAATATCGTATTAAAAATATAGGATTTTAAAAACTATGTGGATATCAATAATAACTACATAAAGAAAAAATAGAAAATGTCTGCAGAAAAGAAAGTCAAAATTTTTTACTTCCCGGAGGTCTTTCAGCAAGAACTAGGTAACGTTCTGGGACAATGTCGCCGTGATTCTGCCACATGGCAGTATACCATTTCACTACTTTTTAAAAACACGATTGCAGAGTTTTATTGGTATAATTTTGTTTGAAAAATTAAAATACCTCACGCTTTATATCGATTCCTTATTGGGTAACTGCCTTGTATCTAAAGATTTTTGCTGAATATAATAAATATCCACCATCAGAAAATTAAGCGATGAGAATTTAAGTCTTATTAAAATTTTCCCAGTCTTCACACCTTAAAAAGACTTCGGTCCAGAGAGAAGCGCTTCAATTTTTATTCCTTCGCTGACTCGCTCCTGCAAAATGTAACCTAGATATGCTATTGTAAAAAAAAATATTAAATGAAATTAATAGTATTCATTATGCTCATTCATTATTGTCCGTGCTAACTTTTTTTAAAGTGTCTTAAAAGATAACATAACTAGCTCACTATCAAGTTTCTCAATTTATTTTTCTTGTTTCAATGAAAGAAAATAAAGACAAAAACATAAGAAAGTACAAGTCCATTTTATTAGATTTTTTTTCCATTCATAGAATGCTTTAGTAATTTTTTTCTAAATTTTTATCATTTATTTATTTAAATATTTTTCCTTGATTAAATTTCTTTCCACCAAAGTCACCAGACCATTGAAGATATTCAGTAACCATTTTTTTAGTTTCTGGAAGAGATGGATCCAATTTCTTCCAGCTGTAAGATTCATAATCTATTTGCCAATCATCAGAAAGCTGTAATAAACACAGAAATGCTTGTAGCAAAATTTACTAGCAATTCAAATTAATCTAAAGAATGATCTGGCACTAAAAATCTTTAAATACTATACAATCTACGAAATTTAGCTGCATTAATTCAGATTAAAATATGCAATTAATAATATACTAACTACACATATAATAAAAGTTAGAAATAAATTAATGTTTGCCAAACATTATGAATTAAAAAATTAAAATATTAGGACTGCATGTTAAGATTTTGGTGTGTCTATGCATCATCACTAACTATGTATCGTCAATGTTTCGCTACATTAATGTGTTACATTTGGTATTGTGTGATTCTGATTTCTTGTACTGCTTGATTACAGCAATTATATTCTTTTAACTCAATCTTCAACTCCAACTCAATCCTCAATTAGCTTACAAAAAATGCTATAAATTAGTCTGTCAAAAAAAAAAGAATTTTTTTAAATCAATAAATCCTATCAGTGACAACACTAGAATAAAAAAAAAAAAATAGAACTTGCACATAAGTGGAGGGCACGTGCCAAAAATTAGCCTGCCATTTAATAAGTAATTATAAAATTAAAATGCACATTGAGCCAGCACTTATAGAAATCTACAAAAAAAAATAAAATGGAAAAAAAAACTTAGCTGCTGGATTGAGAAAGATTTAAAACTTATAAACAGCAAACATCAAAAATCATGCAATTTCAGATTCCCTCTCATCTTAAATTTAATTCATTGCTACCAATATTTGCCATTAAAAAAAAATTGTTAAAAAGTAAAACAAATCTTTGAATAAAAATAACAATTCAAACTTAATTAGTTGCACTTTTTAAATAAACATTGCATTTCTTATAAAGTTTAAAGACTGGCGATTTTACAAAATAGCGGTTGAAAACTATAATGGGTTTAATTGATCGCAAAAAATCAAGAGAACTTACACAATTAACAGAAAGTGAGTTCCCTTAACTAAGATATTCATATTTTAACCCCTTCTTTCTTGCTCATCAGAATGATGAGGGGGGTGACGCTTTGCTTTTCACAAGTAACATATCAAAGAATTTTTTTTATTCTAATGTCAGAATGATGGTCATTCTCAATTTATACACCAGGTGGCAGTACTAAACTATTAGATCCTACTATAAGCCTTAGACCCTTTTTTAATAATAAAATGATTTCATAATTAGGAATATGAATTTATGGAACAAGAAATACAATGAATTTAGAATAAACTGAAAACTTTGCATTTTATTTATAAATTGATGTCTTGTGCTTACTTTGAACGCAAGTTCATGTCCTCGCCAAACCCAGATACCAGAAATAGTGCTCTTGTGGTCTTCTCCAAAAAGAATAACACTACCAAAGGCATTCTTCCTCATTTTATCTAATCGTTGGAACATACCTAAATTGACAAAAAAAAATTTATAAAAGGGAATTTTTTTCTGCTGTATTTATAAATTATTGACTTTTAAACTAAACAGATCTTATAATATAATCATAACTAACCTATTTTTTACATTAAAGTCTAAAGATAGCTTAAAATACTAATTATGAATACTAAGTTTTACTTTACAAATAAATAGCAAAGGGAAACATTCAAACATCTTTAGATAAGTTCTAGGATTGTATACAAGTATGGCCATACAACAGAAACTGCTTTTCGAAGAACTTTGGAAACAACTGCTTCAGAGACAAACTATATCCGAATATTAATTGTTTAATGTTACAAAAGTTTATATTTAACTTTTAGTTTAGTCAATGAAGCAAAACTTCATTGAAAGATAGTCCACAAACTCCTTGGGGATTCGTCAACTTTTAACTGGAGGAAGGTGGCAAAAAACATTAATTCCAAGATGAATAAATAAAATTTTGAAACTAGTAAAAATAAGGATGAAAATCAGAAGTAGGTTGACCAAAATTGGTTTAGTGGAACAGATCCACACAGCATTTAATGAACTATGTAAAACTGATTGATGAAACATGTGAGCACCAGAGTTCAAAAAATTCTTCTAAGTACTTTTTAACAACTCAAGATACAATGCTGCAAAAGTATAAATAAGTCATCAAAACATTTTTAAAAAAATGATTTAGCTCTCATTTTCCAAGTGAATATGAATGTTTAATAGAAATAACTTCAGACTACACTTTGAAATCTACCTTTCAGGACCTAGGTTGATACTTATTCCCCCTTTGCAAGTTAAACCAGAAATTTATAAATACGCCAATTCAATCAAATTGTGTGTACCTATAAACTTAAATTTAAAAAAAAACTCAATGGCACTAACAGCCTACCAAGAGCTAAGATGTACGGCGCTCATCCCCGTTTCCTTAACTTTGAAATAAAGGATGCAGGAACAGTGTACATTTGAACAGTTTATCCAATTTATAAAAATGTTCAACTTTTTCCAGTAATAAATTGCAAAAAATTTAGAGTTATCTTTTGATATACACGTTGCCTCTGCTTTAGAATTATCAATATTTTTCTATTTAAAATAGAAAAATATTTTTTCTATTGTTTGTTTTCTTTTAACTTGGCAATGTAAATCAACAAGATACATTTCTAAGAACTAGTGAACACAAAATTAATGTATTAAAGAGTTGCCAATTAATACACATACCAGAAATTAGATTGCAGCTCATGAACACCAAGCTCAGTTCTTGAGGATACAAATATTCAGCATACCAAATTGAAAAGTTCTCAGCATCAAACTTATCCCAGAAATATTTTACAGACACACTTTCAGCTTCATTACTGTACACTCGTTTGAACTCATCCATATTGAAAGTTCTGGAAAATAGAAATGCCAACACTGATTACAAGATCAGTCTCAAAATTTGGAACAAAACTAATGTTACAGAGAGAAGAAATAGCTATACAAATATTTTCACTTTCTAGATATATTTTCTTCTACCAAAGTAAAAATAAATAATGTTAAAGCAAATAAAATGGTAAATTTAACAATATAGTTAATTTTTATAGGTTATATTAATTATTTTTTCAATTACATACTATTTAACAATAAAATTGATACTATTACACTAAAAATTTCTATTACATAATAACTAGATGCTAAAAGTTAATTTCAATATTAAAATAAATATCTAGATTTCTATATTATACAGTGCCTCCTGTAACTAAGGTTATTTAGGTAGATTCTTTTTCATTGCTCTCTATACCAAAAAATAAGCGATCACCGCATTTTTTAAGTTTCTAAATAGTGTCTTTATGATATTAGTTAATTATCAAGAATCAAAGGAGTGTTTAACAACTATATCAAGATGCATTTATAAATTTCAATGGACTCATGAAAACATTGATAAGAATTAATATTCCTCTAGGTTTTACATACTTTGCTACAGAAGCAAAACATTCCTTTGTAAAGAGGTTAGTAAATAAAGAAATTAACAAAGTCGCACACATTAGTCTAACTATGATAATTTATTTCTTCATTACAACAAGCATAAACTAGCCTATCTATTACAACAAAGAATTCAAATAAACAAGTAAGAGCCATGTTCTAAGCAATGCTTCTGATTGAAATTCTCTTTACTTACTCTGCAGTGAAAATAGAAAAACGCAAGCGTCTCCTGGTTGATTTCGAGAAAAGTGCTTTGACAATATTTTATTTCTTTTGCTCATGCTATGAACTGATAAAACAAAGTTTAATTTCAGAAAAAATCTTGTGCAAAAAATCTCATTAAATTGTTAAATACATAAAAATCTCAATTTTTTTTAACAACTGTATTCTTTTACTACCCGATTTCCTTGTTCTGAGGAGGCTACCGTGATATCAAAATAAAAAATTATCAACAAAACAAATTAGATTCAAATGTATTCAAAATATTTGCAAGTGGCTCTTATTTAGAGAACAGAGAATTTGATGAATGCTAGAAGAGATTGACAATCTCATGCAGAGCTCGTTCTAGACAGGGTAAACAGGGCGCAGCACCTGTCAAAAGAATCAACCCTGTTGCCCCTGAAGTAAATTAGTGCCCTGATGTAATAGACTCCACACCCTTTTTTTCCTCAACCTTTCTTTATTTTTTCCCCTAACTCCACAATGGAGTTCTTAAACTTTTGTTATTTTCAACTCTTTTGATTTAGTTTGTCACTGCTGTCAATACATAGATTTATATGGGAAAGAAAAAATAGCCAGCACACCACCGTGTTGCACTTGTCTTTAAAAGTTTGCAGTTACTTTAATAATAATTATGATTTAATGATAGTGAATCATTTTAATTATTAAATCATAACTGCAGACACTTAAAAACATACTTTGTTATTTTAATAATATATGCATGCCTTTTAAATACATTACTAAGCTAATTAGGTCATTAACTCGATATACATGTTAATTTATTAATAAAAATTAGTAATTTATATGATTGCTTTGCTACTTTTTTTAGTAAAGTTTAAAAAAAAATCTTTTACCAATTTACAATGTTTTTTAATAGAACGTGTAAAGCCCATATAAAGAAATTATTACCTTTTTAGAATAATAATGCCCTTTTTTTAAGCTTTTGCACCCTGCCCTTTTTTCTGCCTAGAATGAGCTCTGATCTCATGTTACAGTCACATTGCACTAAAGACAATGGTATCAGTGATTTAATTTTAGAGTTAAAACAAAAGTTAATTTAGAAAAACTACATACATAAAAAAAACATCTCCTTTAAACTCATTCTTTATATAAATTAAATGCAAGCTTAAACAAATATAATTGTTTATTTAAAATAATTCCATATTCATAATTGGTAAATTTGTTTTTACACATATCAGTAGGGTTCATTTTTATTGGCACTATATTTTATAGACCAGTTTCTTGTGATGCCAACACAAACAGCATATCAACACCAAAAAAAGCGACAGTTCGATAACATTTCAAAGACAATGCAGGTAACTTCTAGTATGGATCATTTTACTGAGGAACACATAATAGCCTCTCCCAAGAGGTTTCACGTACTACTGCAAAAAATGGCAGTAATCTTCAAAAATGTCACATTGTTTAAGTTCTACTTTAAGTGATTTTCTCATACTTTGATGAAAACAAATTTGAAAAATCCATCTTAGCACACTGAATATGCAGGCATACATGCTTAAGGGAAGTGCAAACTATAGATTTGAAAGTTATATGGGTGTTCGGCAGCACTTTAAAAATACATTAACAAGTACAAATAGTCCCAAGTCTTTATAAAGGGGACTTTCAGTATTTAATTGCTTTTGCTACATTAAAAAAATTGACATGAAAACTGTCAAGAAACTTAAATATTACAGTAGAGATACAAAAAGATTTCTGAATTTAATTCAACGTAGCTCAAACATTAACTATTATGTAGACATAGAGTGTCCAGCAACGTTTTAGAAATGCATTTACATGAGATGAAATGCATTCTCAAGAGAATTGCTGAAAATTTAATATTCCTCTAGGTTTTACATACTTTACTATAAAAGTAGAACATGCCTTTGTAAAGAGGATATAATAAGAATTTTAAACTGATCAATTTATACAAGGAATTTTTTCATTTAAGATGATTCAAACACCTGCAAATTTTAAAAAGTTTTATAGAAATGTTCAGCAACATTTTAAAGAAGTATTCATAAATATGAATACTTCCACAAGAGAATTACTAAAAATTTAATATTCCTCAGGGTTTTACATACTTCGCTATAAAAGCAAAACATGCCTTTGTAAAGAGGACACTAATATTTTAAAAAATTTTTTAAAAAAATAGCAATTTCAATTAATAAAAAAAAATTTACATCTGCAACAATTATTTTGCACACTCAGCTTATGATTTTTTTATTCCAATATAAGATACTCAACTTTGGGCTTTGCATTTTATGAAATTGTTAGATAGATCATTTCACTTATCTTTAAACTAACCTACTAAATATGGCAATATTAATATGAAAAAGATCAATTCTAAAATGTTTTAAGATAATTCTCAGATAAAAATATTTAAAAACACAAAATTAGTGAAATTTTCTGCAGCATTAGAAAACTAGTAACAAACAAAATCAATTCTGGTTTGCTTAGCTTAATGTAAAAAGATAAGCTCTTGCTTAATTATAGAGATTGTTTAACTGCAAATTTCATTGTTTACACCCACAAAGCTAATGTGATTTATGGAGAATAGTGGTTTATTGAATTGTTTAAAACAGATCACGTACTGTATAAAATATAACCACTACCGAATTAACAGGAAGGAACTTTCAAAATAATAAGGGACATGCTGAATTCCATTTTAATGGAACGTAAATAATTGGGAACATTTACCACAGAAATATAATGTGTTAGAGAAATATGCTAACAAATTTTTCTTGGACGAAATGTTATTAAAAACCAAAATTTTCAAAAGTGGTATTCATAAATAATAGTAAATTCTTGTATATAGGTAGATTTTTTAATTTATTCTTACTTTTTTAAGGAAACAATGTGATTTGCGATGTCTTACTAGTTAAAATTGAACTGATTATAAAACAAAATAAAAAGCTTTCTGAATGCTGGAGTTACAATTCCTTAAATTTATTTTATTACTTAACTAGCACTTTAAGTTATGAAACCTAATCAACAATAAATATTCATTGTGACAAAAATCTGACCTTACTTTTTTACTTGGCAAAAACTAAATTTTTGCAGTAATGGTTCATAACAGTTATTAACAAGTGTGGAAAAAACTAAAAGGTTAAGAATTTAAACCAAGTAAAATAATTTTAAGTGTCAAAAACTTGAAAATAATTTATTTGTGTCTTTATGTGAACAGTACCTCAATTTTCTTTCCAACCATTACACATTATTCTGACACAGAACAATTTAGAAGCTAGTCATAAATTTTAACTAGATAGTAGAAACTATATACTTGAAAAGATACATGAGCATTAAAAAATAGTTCTCGGTATAAGAGCACAATAACTCGGTATAAGTGCTCAATAATTTTAATACAAATCACTTTACAAAAATATTAACACATATGTGGGATTGGGCAAAAGATCACATAACTGAGAGCCAATTCTATAATGAATAAGCAATGAAAAGTAGTTTTTTTTAAACAGGCTTTGAAGAAACAATACTTTAATGTAACAACTTCTTAAATTCCAAAATTACTAAATATTGAGAAAACTAAAAATAAAAGTTTTATCCATAAAAAATATATAAAAACTGTGAAATAACTATCTTGAAAATGAGAAAACTAAAAATAAAAGCTTTATCCATCCGTAAAAAATATATAAAAACTGTGAAATAACTATCTTGAAAATTATTTAAGTAACAAATATTTACCCTTTAGGGAACTGTTCAAAGGGATCTTTAGATTTTGGCTCAAGAGCTAAAGCCATTTCTGTTTCATCTGGTTCTTCAGCAACTGTTTCTTCTTTCTTAGGTTTCTGTTCTTTTTTCTTTTTTTCTTCTTTAGGCTTTTCTTCCTTAGGAGCTTGTTTACCATGACCTAATTCTTTTTGAACTTCAGCAAATTTCTTTGCTACAAGAAAATTATAATTTCTCAAGTCTCGATCGCTAATAATTTACATTTGAAACGACCCAAAAAGCAATTTTTTTTTTTTTAAAAAAGTAAATTTAGTGTTTCTTTTTAATAGAATATAGAACATTGATTATACCTTAAGACTTATCGTCTTGCTGTTTTAAACTTGAAATCTGATACTACTTATTAGGCATATAATTAGACTGAAATAATATTACTGAGCAAGCTTTGAAAAGATTAAATTAAGAAAAAAATATATTCTTTATCAAACAATATTTTTGTTAAGTTTTATAAGTTTTGGTAGCATAAACTATGAGTAGGGCAGCATAATGTACGGTAGTGCCATCTATGTTCTGTGAATGAAAATACCTTCAAAAATATTGGCAGGACTGGTGGGAAAGTCTCCCACTAGACAGAGAAGTGTTTCTGTCCCAAAAGAATTTTTTGAAATTTGCTTGAGACAAATGTGTCCCGTTAGGCGCGAAGGGGTTAATTTAGCTTTAAGTTAAAATTACCAAATAAAATAATTAACACTTCTAAATTACTACTCCTCACTAATAATTCTACCTTGACATACGCATTAACATTTAAAAATGTTTAACTTTTTCTTAAGTTTTCGAAAATTTCAAATACACATCTTTTAAAAAAGAGTTGTGCTCTTTTGTAGACTGTTTTCAATTTGAAAAGTAACAATTCATAAAGTGTTAGAAATTCAACATTACAAAACCAAATTTAAAACTAATATTTTCAATAGAAAAAAAATTTTTTTTTCTATAACTTAACTAAGATGATATAACTGTTAACAAGAAAATATAAACCTTACCATCAAACTGAGCCATTTTTTCACATAGAACTACTTCTCCCAATATCTTCTTAAATTCAGGCTGGTTAATGCATGTTCTAAACCACCTAGTGACATTTCCATAAGGTTGTCTGAAAGAAGGTTCAAGGACCTGAAATATAATATTTCTATTGAAATAAATTGTCTCACTTTAAAAAAAATCATTTTAAGACAAATTTAAAAAAAGAAACTTACTAGCTGGTACAAGGACAGCAAATTACAGGTGAGACTGATATCTGCTTGAGTGATTGACTCCCCAACCAAGTAAGTATGATGCAATAGATGATCATTTAGAATTTTAAGAGCTCTTTTAATATCTTCCTTAGCTTTATCTGTTGTCTAAATTATAGGGAAAAAAAAATTCCTATTAGATAATTATAAAACCTAAGAAAAAGGTCTTGAAAATAAAACCAAAAAGTATAGTTCTGAAAACATGAATAACTGCAAGATTATTAGAATTAATATAAGCTTTGAAAATTAGTGATGGTCCATCATAAAGCAATTTTAAATTAGCTTAAATTTTAGAGGAATGTACTTAAAACTGCAGATTTTAGGAGTGTTTTATCAGAGCAGTAACTCTTTTTTAGACCAGGATGAGCAAAGAAATTTTAATCCTTGGTTATCTTAATCCTTTCATTAGAAAAACTCTTAGCTAAAACAGCACTGCAATGCACTGTTTTTTTTTTTAAATCTCAATAAGAATGGTTTTAAATTATTAAAACGAAGTGAAGGGTTTGGAAATATTTCACATACATATTGCAATACAAAACATAATACAATGTTATATTACACTTGATTATCTTTTTTTTTGTTTTTTCATTTGCATAAAGTATGAGAAAAGATTCCTTTCAGAAAAAGATCTCAAAATGCAATGTAAGTGAGAAGAGGAATAAGTTGATAATTATTGTATGGTATAACATTCATGATTGATGAAATTTAAAATTTCATCTTCAATCCTAATTAGCTCAAATAGGTTTGGTAATCAACACCAATTCTCTAAGTGCTTCTATAGATATACATACAGCTTTAAGTAGCCTGTAATGAAATTTATAGGATCTAGAATAATACAATGAAACCTCTGTTAAGTGAACACTCTTGGGGGCAAAAAAAATTGTCAGTTTATGGGAAGGGTACCCTAACGGCGAAGTTTAAGCCCGTAAATTGCTTTTAGAATATTTTCAATGATATAGAAATAATTAAATAATTTACAATAACTATCTCCAAGGATATTATTTTAACTTTAAAAATACTATTTTCTTTACAAAAATTAATTAAAAAGTTTGATATAAATACATAATTTTAGATGTAGCTACAGATAAAATACACAGTTTACACTCCGTAACACACAACTAAAATATTAAAATAAGAAATAATTTTAAATTATACAAAAGTAAATAAAACACCTGTTTGTTAAACTGCATTATTCCTAAACATGGGAAAACCCAGGTACATGCAGAAGGCAAGATTTCATGGTCCCCAAAATCAATCCACATTCTGATAAGAGCTTGATCAAGAACATTCTTTCCTTTGAGTTGATCATTACTCACTAAAATTACACAAGTTTTATTAGAAATGCAACAAATATCCTAATTTTGAATAAAATTTTATAAAGTTTACATACAGTCTATATAGACATACAAGCTATAAATATTACTGCTACATATTTCAACAGTTTTAGAAATAGCTATCACTTTTTGATTATTCTTTATTTAAAAACTAATCTTTAAGTTTATCAAAAAATTAGGAATGCAATCATGAAAGACAAGAGTTAACTTTACTAATACAATAAGTGAAAAGAACCAATTAACGGATCCTAATCAATATTATTAGGGGACTGTCTAGGTTTTTCTGAGCAGTACCTTTGTGAAAATTTAGGCATAATTTGTGAAAATTAAAAATATTAAAATCAGCACAAAAATATTTATAGTTTCCTATGGAATACAAAAATAAAATATTAAGAAAAACTATTTTGTGAAACTACCGTTTTTCCTAAAGTTGAATTTGAGAAGGTACCGCTAAACGGTAGTAAATTTGGCCTGAACAGACCCCTGATTATTCACAAACTAAAGAATAATAATTTTTACATTATAAAAAGTGCAGATTTTTAATTCGTAATGAAAAAAACAAACATTTATCAATTTTATTTATATATTAATATTTTAAATTAGGCTAGTTTTCAGGCAACAATAGATTTAAATTCACATTTTATTTAATCTCAAAATAGCTTTTTTTTCATTCTTGTATTTTAATTAATGATTTACACAAATATAAATTGAAATAAAATGTAATTAGACATTCTATAATGGTTAGAATAAAAAGATTTAATAACATAATTTATAATGGTTAAAAATTTAAAAAGATATTTACCTGAATACCTTAAAAATTCATTAAACTTTACTATTTATTAAAATAACAAAATGTTCTAGAAAACAAAGGGCTATGGAATTTTTTAAAGTTTACTGAATTTAATTACTGTAAAACATAATCTAACCAATCATACTTTGTAAAGAAACTATTCATGTGAAAATTAATGAGAATAAGTAGAGCAGAAAAATGTAAAACCTAGAAATCTCAAATAAATAAAAAACAGGCGCCTTTTTAAAAACAAGGACACCTTCAGCTTTGAAGGGCACCTATTTTGCCGTATATTATCTCTAAGCTAGTGCCCATAAAAATGGAGTTAAAAATACAAATTATAAGAAATAATATTTCATACTAACTCAGCCTAAAAATAATTTGCAGTAGTTATAGTAATCTTCATGGGTTCAGCCACTATACTTAAAATAAAAAGGTGGCAATTTTACAAAATAGGAGAATGCATCATCCATCTCTGAAAAAGCGTAGGCAAAGTTGTCACCTCTTTAAAAAAACTTTTAAGGAGAGCACTAGAATCTAAGCTAGTATATAACTTCTTATTTTTTTGGGATTTAAGGCTAGCAAATGTCAAGTTGAAGTTGAAATGGAGAACTAGTTTTTTACAAAGCATTAAAGCTAATAATAAAAAAAACTTTGTACCTCTTATGGTTGCTCACAAACCAATAGATGGAAGGCAAGCCGTAAGAAAAGGTAGGCAAGTCTAGTACCAATAATGTATCTCTCATGGTTACTTGTACACTAATGTAGATATACAAGTCGAAAGAAGAGAATTTCAAAAGTAAAATTCCAGTTGTATATATATAGTAAGATTTTTTTAAGTAATATACAATTAAAAGAAAATTAAGAATTTTTAATTGCAATCTGTTAAATTTCAAAATTTTCTTCAAATACAATAAATTTATTATAGACAAAAATTAAAACCTTTTTTATAAAAAAATTAATCAAATTTAAATTTTTAAAAAAAACTAATGTTGATTAAAAAAAGTAATTCAATAAATATGCAGTCATTAATAAATCTGAAAATGCATACTTCATTTAAAACTTTACTTAAAATACTTTCGTCATTAAAAAAAATTTACAAATAAAAAAAATAAATAGTCAAATAAAAAAAATTGTACAATATATTTAAGAATTAAAGATTCTTAAAAAGAAAAATATAGAGTAGTTTTAAGTTGAACTACTGAAAAACTATACTCTGTTCAGTAGAAGGCAGAAGCCTCAATGTATCAGATTTCCTTTCATATTAACAAATCAGTCAGATTAGTGTTGCCGAAACATTGGCGCCAATCAGTGTAATTTCACGCCAAGTGTTTGTAGGCTAAGACTATTTTTACAATTAAATTTTGATGAACCAAGTATAAATTAATTTTTAACAATTAAGGGATTAGAAATCAGTTGTTTGGTTTACAAAAAGCATATAAATAAATTACAAGTTTCTATCAATAATAATAAAAAAAATTAATTAGAAAGCAAGGCACAGGAAAACCTACCATAATGTGCAATGGCATTACTTTCTGATAAATATTGTTTATTTGGAGTCTCTAAGGCAGGAACCTTTAACATAAAATATGAAATTCTCAATCACATGAAAGAGCATAATTAAGAACATATCATGAAACTTATAAACTTAAAACCTATTTAAAATTGTGACTTTAATAAAGAGAATACCATACATTTCATTAACAGAATCACTTAAACATTATCATACATTAAAAAAGAAAGTGAGAGATAAGTTGTTTCAAAATCTGAAACAAATAAGAACCACGAAAAGACAAACCCCCAAAAAATTAAACTTGATCCTAGATTAAGCTGTTTCTAAAACTTAAGGATAAAATCGGATACCAAACCAGCTAAAAATATTAATACAATCCACATAATCAATTAAAAAAAATTCTAAAAAATAGTTTATAAATATTTTCTTTGTATCAAGGGTACCAAATTAAAAATAAAAACATAAACATGCAATATTAATTCTTGATTGCATCAGACACATTCTAAATGCAGGGATCTGTCTAGGTTTTTCTGTAAGGTACCTAATTTGTGAAAATTTAGACATAATTCGTGAAAAATTAAAAATTTTATTAAAAAATCAATACAAAAACGTAGATTTATAAACTAAATATATAGATTTATCGTTCTTTAAGGGATACAAAAATAAAATTTTAAGAAAAAGCATTTTGTGAAACTACCGTTTTTCCTAAAGTTGAATTTGTGAAGGTACCGCTAAACTGTAGTAAATTCGGCCTGGACAGACCCCTGAAATGTCTTCATGGAAAATATTTTATTCAATAACATTTTAACTTACGAAATCAATAAAACAATCTAAACATTTACATCAGAATTAATATCAAGTTAATGTTAATACTAAATGATATACACGATTAACTTTTGATTACTTAAGAAAATAAATTCATATTCATTAATATATAACGGTAAGGGGTTTTTTAATTAGTTTCATAGCTGCAGAAAAAAGAAAGGATTATTCCCTCCAAGTGAAACTTGAAAAATCTATTAGGTCTTTCTGGGTTGAGCCTACAGTGTCATAGAATATTTTGATCATACAAACTCAAGATGCTAGGAGAGATGACGAAATTTTAGAACTTTTAAAATTTTTTAACTAAAATTGTTTTGCAAAATTATTGGTAAAAAACTAATCAAATTAAACATAATAAAAATTTATTTTCATTTTTGTCACTTGCTAACTATAAAAAACTATTGCAGCTATGTTAACACAAATAGCTTTATATGGCAATTTGTTTAAAAGTTTAAATTCCTTCAGTTCATAAAGGGAACCTTTAATTTTGTAAACAATTACTATCTCAATATATTTTAAATTTTAGTATTTTTAACATATATAGTAGTTTATTTTTTATCAAAGGAAAAATTAGTACCCAAAGCTTTTAAGAATAAACTTACCTAAATATGCAAATGATATGGGGAAATATTGAACTACTCAAGAGTTTTTCTGCTCCAATGGATCCAAAAATTTAATCAGTCAAATTACTACTTGCATATCTTAGAAAATATAAATTATTGATTCACATACAAACTTAATTTGAAACTGTGCAATTTAGCTATAACAAATAAAATTTAGTGTTTTTTGAAACAGCAGTCAGTATAACAAATACGGTGCACTCTTTTTTAAGATATTGACAAACAAGGATCAACATTTAAACTGCATTTAATAAATTCAGTATTGGCATACTTAGCAAAATATAGGATAAAAGTTATTGCTTTATGTTGCAAACTTTCCTTTTTCACCTAAATCTAAAAGAAATCTATTTCTTGACATAGTAATAAAATGATTGTTGACGTCTAGTTTCTTCCATGGATAGCAATAAGCAAAACACAGATATTCTTTACAATAAGAACATCCAAATGAAAGGCAACAAAAATTATGTAATAACTAAACGTTATTTAATTTAATAACATTTCTAGACATTTCATTTGGCTAATAAAAAAAGGTTAAAAAATGAAGAAAGAATTCACAGCATTTTGTTCCCTTAACTTTAGAACACAGTTCAGAAAACAAATATTCAGAGATACATACAAAAACTCACTGTCGTAAAATTTTTGTGACGTTGTCAACAAAGTACTTGAACAGATAACAACGTAAAACAAATTGGATTATTTAAATATAAATTTTATTTGGAGCAGCATACCTTTCCATTGGGAAATTTCTTTAAAAATTCGGCGGACTTGTTAGTTTCTCCGAAAAGAAAGTCTTCACACACATTTACAGCACAGCCACTGTATTGTGCAGCGATAAGAATTTTCTGTGCACGGAAGTTGTTTGGATACGTATACAGAATCTGAAATAATATAATATTAATACAAAACAGTTTGTAAAGACAACGTATGACAAAAATTAGTCATTTGAAAAAATAAACAGGCATGGATTAAATGGATTTTTGGAATGTAAACTTACAGATGCCATTGCTAAACGTCAAACAGCGAAACTGGAAGCGAAAGAGACCGGGAAAGGGTAGGTGGAGAGGGGAGGTTGTTTAAAACAACAGTTGCCATTAAGAAAAAAAAATCAAGAAATATATTTATTTATTTATTTTTAATTAATAACCTACTAAAGAGCCATTATCACTTAATACAAAAAATTCATGAATGCGAATAAAAGCCTGATTGGAGAACTATATTTAATATACGCAAAAAAATTCTACTGATGAGTATATTGGAGTTTTGGGGACCATTCTCACTGCTTGTAATTTCTCTATAAACGCGTACGAATATTTAAAAAAAACTACATTCAAAAGGAACTGTATGTGTGTATAAATCATGTTCCCGTACTATTGCCTTTGTCAGATATTAATTTTAATTATTACGGTTATTTAAGTAAACTATTTTGCTTTTAAATTGTTCATGTAGTCGAGGTATCTCTTTAGATGTTCTCTTTCGGACGCTTCATAAGGGTCTCGTAACAATCGTAAAGTATCATAATATATTCATGATACCATGACTGTGAACAGAATGTTTGTACTTAAGCCACCATGGATCATTTTTATTTTAGCTACGTCGACAGAAATCATCCATGTCTATTCTGTAACTTCTATGGGAGGGGGCGTGATGGAAATCTTGCAATGGACGAAGTCTGCTATATTAGTTCGAAACACATGTCATAAGTACTGTTCGGTTTTGAAAAGAATTTCTTCAGACCTAATGTCAGGGGCAGCCAGATGTTACAGTAACAAAAGAGAGCACATTTCTAATGGGGTAAATTGGAGGATTGAGTCTCACAGTGGACTGATCGTTAAGACATGGTTCCCAGCAGATCACCGAAGTCAAGCATCACTGGCTACGGTCAGTGTGCGGGTGGGTGACCACTTGGATCAGCCTGCATAGGGACCGGGGATGTGCGGTATTGGTCCTCGTTAAACTGTTCTATCGTAAAGTGCTCGACTTCGCGTGCAGGTCGTCGGGCTACCGAAGCGGGGGTGCCATCCCCTCTGCAGAGGATCAAAATTGTGATGGCATGTCTTCGGATGATCCTCAGGGATGTTTCCCAGACCGTTGCCAATAGCCCATTTCGCAGCTCTAGTGCGACGTAAATGAACAACAACAGCAACAAGGAGGATTGAAGCAGTCAATATTGACCACAAAGCACGGATTTTTACGCCAGATCAAGAAAAGGATCAATACAAAACTATTCACCCCACATCCCTAGCTGAACTGACTTATCCTCGTAACCATAATACCCATCACCGCACGAGACTTCTGAAGAAGCTCTCCTGAAAGCCGCTCAATACTGCCCTTCGAAATGTCTCAATGATGCTTTTATGGCGGGGAAAAAAAGATACACTAAAATGGGGTAACTTTGGAACTCTTTTTATTTTTTATTTATTTATTTTTTGAAATCTTGTTTCAATTGCAATATAAAGCTCCAAATACACTTTTGAAATATTTTATTGCATAATTTATCATAATTTGCATATTTTATCGAATTTCCTGAAAAGATCTGAACTGAATATAAAACCACTGCTATAAGACAAAAATGCAAATATTGTACATCAAATACGTAAGCGTACACGCATGTGTAGGCGGAGCCATTGAAGAAACAGACTTTATAAGTGCGCATAAGTTAAGACGCATTTCGTTCGTGTGGCGTAACTACCACTACGATCATTAAACATCAAGTCACTAGTATATAAAACATGGTAACTTGATTCAATCTTGAGGTACCTTTTGATAGATGAAGGTTAGCATTATTTAAACATATTTCCCCAAATTGGTGACCAACGGACGTGATATGATCTCGACCACTTCGATGGATGGTTCACATTGAACAGTTGGCTTGCCATTTGTGACTGCATCACCGTCCTCCTCGCACTGTTGCTTCTCAGTCTCATTTACACATGTAAGGTTTCTGCACACACTCGACTGCTAATAGCAACACAGGAGAGATCACACACACAACATAATCTTAATACAGCTCTCATGGTTAAAGCTCAAAACCCGGTGACCTTAATCCAGCTCTCCCGGTCTTTCACAAATACAGCAAACTAGTGATATCCATTCATCGAATTCTATCCCTGATAAAATTCTGGTGGGGGAATATTGTGGCGTAACTACCACTACAATTATTAAACATCAATTCACTAGTATGTAAAACAAGCTAACTTGATTCAATCTTGAGGTACCTTTTAATAGATGAAGGTTGGCATTGTCTAAAAATTCTTTCCCCACAGTTCGCTAACACACCTCATCGAATATCTTGGTGTTATTTTGAAGCAATAGGTTAAATTCAAATTTTAACAGTAAAAATGAATAACCTCCAACGTTTAGATGATGAAATGAGGTGACGAATTGTGGGGAGGCTAGAAGCAGGCAAATCTCAGGTCCATATTTGGAGAGAGTTTAATTTAACGCCCAACGTCGTGCGTAACTTATGGAAACAGTTCCAGGATACCGAATCCATCGAGAGGAATTCTCGGCAAGGTCGTCCAAGAGATCGTCGGAAGATCGCCATTTATAGCGAGGCGTAACAGAGGGGCTACAACTTGGGTGAAGCCACAGAAATCAGCGCATCAAGGGTGACTGTTTCCAAACTACTTTATGAGAGAGGGTTGTTTGCAATAAGTCCTGCTGTTTGCGTCCCACTCACTTCTATGAACAGGAGAGTCAGTTCAGCATGGTTCAAAGAGCATAGAGATTTGAGTATGGATCAATGCGTGAACGTTCTCGTCACTTATGAGTCCCAGTTCAGCGTGAACACGCATTCTCGCCGTATATTTATATGGAGTGAACCAGGAACCCGCTACCTACCCTCCAATATTCGCGCAATCGACCATTATAGCAGATCAGGTTTAATGATCTGAAAGACATCATGTAGTACATGATGCCAGTACACCTCTCCATATAGGGATGAGATATAAGGATAAGGGCTTGGAGCCCTATGTTTCGCTTTTTTAGGGGAGCAGTTGGCTCTGAGTTCATTTAATAGAAGATAATGTAGGGCCACTTACAGCGCTTCTGGTTGACGAATTTCTAGAGATTCAGGATATTCGCTGAATGGATTGGCCAGCCAAATCTCCAGAGCACAACCCTATAAAATTTGTCTGTCACGCTCTGGGAAGGGCAATTGCAACTCGCTGCCCCTCTCCGAGAACCATCCAGGGAATTAAACCAGTGTTGCTGAACGAGTGGGACCAATTGCTGCAGGAAATGATAAACTGCCTCATTTCAAGTATGAAATCACGCAGCAAGGACTGTATATCTGTAAGAGGGCACCATACCCACTATTAACCCATTTTTTTTGTTTATTCTGCAACCGCTGTTTCATACCTTCCGACTCCAATGAGTGCTAAGCCCGATCATGAACGTGTATAACAATTGTTGAATGGTTATTTGTTTTGTATTGTGTCAATGTATGTAGGTCTCAAATTTCATTAAAATAGGTCCAGTAGTTCTAGAGATAATCGACCAAGTCTGCAAATTCTCTTAATTTCTTACACCAGTGAATTTTACAGTATATATCCGAATAACTCTTTTTTAATTTGGAAAGTAAAACTTCTTTCTAAATAGTAAGGAAACTTTTTTTCCTTTAAGAAAAGTAAAAAAATAAAAATTGTTTCGGTGTCTTATGAAAATGTCAAAAATGTCACCATCTGGGTAACTTTGGGACATCTAACTTAACACCTTGAATTCAACTGAAACATTATTCCAGCACATAATAAACTTTCTTAATATCGAAACTGGCACAAAATGTTTGAAATTTCTCTAAAAATTTTCAAAATGTTAATTTAAAAAAAAAATTATAATTGAGAAAAATAAAAATCATAGTAAAAGTACTAATTTTTATAATTTTGAGTTATATTTTTAATTTTACAGCTAGAATATTATTATTTTTTTTATCTCTATTGTTATTATCCAGGAATTCTATTTTTATTAATTAAATTGCTATTATTTGAAATTAGTGTCAAGCAAATCATTAGAAATTTCATTTGAAAGTGGGATCATTTTTTTACTTGATTTTTCATGTACTAGACAAAATCAGGTGTTCGACGATGTCCAATATATTGTCGAAATCAGCAAAAAAAGTGAAAAATACGAAGAAAAAAAAACTTGCTTTTGCAGTCTCATTGATGTCTGTAAGCATCCTATTAGCATACAGTTTACAGAAATACTGAACAAATACTGAAATACAACTGTATGAAATACAACGTTAAATCGGTATTGTGACGTCGAAACAACCATTGCCCACATCAGTTTATCTTCACAATCATAATTATTGACTTCATTATTGATCAACATCTAACCGAAAATTGTCACTAAATCACAACCCAAAGTACAATATTGTTGGTTATCATGGCGTATAAAATAAACTAAAAGGTAGGGTTTTAATTCATACGTCATGATAATACATGATTTCTTAAAAATACGTTCAATCATACTAGAAATCTGAATGTTAGCTTGATTTTTCGATAATAATACCGTAAATATGTACTTCAGATGAGATTTGACAAAATTCCTCGCAGGCAGAAGAAAAAAAATCAAATGTACATTTTTGTAGATCAGTAAATAAAAGTTATCACAACAACGACAGCTGTTTTAGAACTTAATACTGCCTCTAAAACTGATAGAAAGGGTAAAATCCTAGAACAGCCCACCTCTTGACGACGTTTTGAAATCTCGCCATGTTGGCGATTGTTACTGGGATTAGCGTTTCATTTTGATTATTAAAAAAAAGAAGAAAAAATTTAATTATCACAAATTTATTGAAATATTTTACAATAGAATAAAAAATAACTTACATTTACTCCGACAAACATCGCCTGCGCAACCACATTCAATCCACGCTTTCAGCATCTCCATTCAAAACCATCCACCGTATCCTTTCACTCAATCAAACTCATTTATTCTTCACTTTTAGGGCATTCATACGTTTTCAGAATTAAATTTTGATTTATAAGCCATTCAAATAATGACGATGATTCTAACTGTGAGACATCAGAAGCATAAATGGCGAAAAAAAACCCATTTTACCTCTTTTCTAACGAAATGCTTTCGAAGGTATACATATGAAATAACCAATCAGGTTTAAGAATTTTGATGGTGTTATCGGACGTTCAAAATAATCTTCCTGAAATATCTTCCTGAAACCTAGCTTGGCGAGATTTCAGAACTTGCTTGGCGAGATTTTAAAAAAATCGCCACCGGGTGGACTATTCTAAAAAAAAAAATAAAAAAAAAAAATAGTGCGTGGAGTCCCTCCGCGCGGAAGAAGTTAAACTTCGCAACCTGCGACGTTAATTGCAGAAAAATCAGCAGTCGTAGAAGGATCACTAGTTCTATTCAACGACTCTTTTTCCTGCTCCGCTCGCTTCCTTGCTCTGTAATCACGGTAATATTGTGCATTTTTCCCACGTGGAGCTCTTGAACCAGTGGAAGTGCTTGTGGTTGCCTCATCGTCTCGCCCTGGAAAATGTATTTGCATTAATAATGTATGTGAATGCGTCATAATGTAATTTCAAAAGAGAAAACCTAACAATCAATTGATATTCACAAGAGACGTACCTTGACATAACCTTAAATCCGTCGCATTGTCCGTGGGATTGTTTTCACTCTTTTTTTACAATTGTTATGCACTAAATTTGAAAATAAAAAATACTACCCCATTAAATTATATGTGTATCAAAACAAACTAAAAAAATATTTATAGAAAAACAATAATTTAATGACTTTTATTATTTTTATGCTAGTGAGAACCAAAACAATATGGAAATGAATGAGGGAAAACTGGATCCTACCACGTGATTTCCCGGCCAATAAAAATGCAGCGTTAAACGTTTAACGCAACCTTGTTGAAAGTCGCATAAGAAGTTTCAAAAAAATATCGATCATACTCCAATCTGGTGTTAAATGGATCCCAGCGATTAACTCCAGAAAACGAGAATGATCCAAAATAGCCTCACTTGTCACAAAATAACTCAGTTTCCCGATATGTTTAATTCAGAGAAAATAGATTTTGTTGCTTCTTAATTAGCATATTTAATATCAATCCATCGAAACATTGAGATTGGTATTAATAGATGGAAATCTAATCATTAGATCAAAAGTTATTAAGACGTTCGGTTTTTCTATTTTTTGTATTGTACAAATGAAGCGGTCAATGTTAAGAGGGAGTATGTTACAAATCTGAACTTAGGAGAAAAGCCAGAAGAAAAAGAGAGAGAGAGAAAGAAAGAAAGAAAAGAAACAGTGTCAACTGTGGAAAGATTGTTTTAATTGCTTCCAAATTGTTGGATTTTCTTCTTTCGACATTCTAGAAAATAACTCCGTATTTGATAATCGGTGATAGATATTCCAAACCAAACAAAAAAACTTATTTTCGAAAAAATGTTACTTTCCCCTTTTAACATTGATTGCTTCAACTATAAGCTTAAAACGCAAATTATCAATTACAACTTGTTTTTTTTCCTTAATAATTGAAAAATATTGTTTTGTAGATATTCCATTAAAGGCAGCTGGCATACGAATAAATAAAATGTCGTGCATGAGTGATTTGGTCTTATTTTTCAATAACATTTCCGAAATAAAATACAATAAATAGCATAATTTTCAAAAATACGAATGTACTACAAGTATTAGTCTTCGAAATTATAGGAAGTATGACAGCACATAATGGACGATTGATTATCTTATTCCTAGTGGTATCTGTAAGTAAGATTTTATCTTATCGTATTCAAATATTTTTTGTCTGAAAGACAAAATGTGATACTATTATAAAACTAATAAATGTGGACAATGATCAGCCAAAAATCTTAGCAATTTATAATTCTACTCTTATGGGAAATTTATTTAGCAAAGCATACATATACATTAACAATTGTTTTTAACCTATAGAAATTTAATCATAATTTTATTCAGTATAAAATAGATTTAAAAAAAACTTATTACAGCTATGTTTTTCTAGTGCATTGAAATGGAAAAAAAAATTCAGACATGTTTAAGAAAAAACGTAGGTAGCTGCACAATCAAAAGACCGTAGAATTTTCGGCCCAGCGGAAAGTTTAGTGCAAAAATTATGCTCTACATGTTTTTCTTTTTAGATCTGTCACAAATAAAATTATCTCCTTATTATTCTACTTGAAAATTCAGTTTTAAATTTTCTTTTTTAAATCTCTGGTTCAGTTGATTTGTTTTTTAATGGAAAATGTTCGAAATTTCGGTTGTGACAAATTTTGCTTTCACCATTTAGTAAACAATTGTAATTTGTATAGGCACCAAGCACAGAGTTCTAGATTAAATTTAAGCACTCCATAGGTCAAAAAGCTACTGACTGAAAGATCAATGTGGCGGTATAAATAATACTCAGAGCTATCGGAAAACAACGGAAATTTATTTTATTATCAAATACAGACCTTCTGTAGAGATTAGAGATTGCATAAATTGTGTTTTTTTTTAAATTTCTTTTGTCGAAAATCTTATCACCTACTTTTTGAATGCGATCGACATAGTTGCATAAATGTAGTTAACACTTCCAACTACCTTAAGCATTTCGGCAGTTTCAATTTAAAATTATTTTTTCATTTATTAATATTTTTAAATTTGTCTTATAGGTCTTAATTTGCATAAAGGCGGGGGAAGAAAATGACAAGATGGACGTTGGAGAATATCAACCACTAACTCCTACTAAACGAGAAAAGAAAATGTGTGAAGACAAGGCTGAAGAAAAAGGAAAAACCATAAAAGATTGTTCAAAGGTAAATAAATATTGAAGTGTGAGTTTGATGTCTACAAGTGACTTCATCGTAGGTAAATCGTATGATTTGTCGATTCTGAAGTCAATCAGATACGACGCACACGCGAGACGCCGCTAACAGATATCCAATTAAATCTGATTTAAATCACTTCTACTCGAGTTGTAAATACTCAATTACGTGTGTTTCGACACGAATTTTATACATAACTAGGGGCTGAGAGCCCTGTTTGCTGACGCTCAACAACCCCCGATAATTGCTTCACAATAATGTTTTGTTTCTTGGCATAAGACAACTTTAATTAAGTAACTAAAAATAAATGTACTAAATAGAACACTTGCGCCGCCACTTCCCACATCCAAATATTTCCCTTATGATATTATTAAAATCTTTTTTTATTTTTATTTCCAATGAGCTGCACAATCGGTCTTCCTGATGAGCAGACCTAGTGCGTTCTCCAGAAGTGGTATCCACTCTTTCAGGACCACCACAATGGGTGAGATACCGTTGGCCATGTTAATTTGGACGTCTAGTTTTTGCCACACTAGATGGCAGCACCGAGACCCTATTTAGATGCTAAAGTGCACTAGGAATTTAATTTTTATTAAATTCAATAGTGGACAAAATATTTAATAAGTGGTGATTTAAATAGTGGACAAAAATCATTTTTCTAAGCAATCATTTTTTGAATTAACATTTTAAATTAAAAGTGTATTGTTGTAACAAATTTGGGGAGTTCACAACTTTAATTTAATATTTTTGCTTACCAAATGAACTTAAATATTTAAAATACAATTTTAGCATTCATGACTTTGTGCATGGAACTAAAAGTTAAGTTCCAAATCATTTAACGAAGCTCTTAAACCGTAACTCATAATAGTGTGTACACATTAATGTAATTTGAACCTAAAAATAATAATTGTGAAATGGTTAATAAGATCAGACACAGATTTAAATAACTTAATGTAAATTGTAGAGTATCTGCCACTACAAAAATATAATTTCAATTCACTAGTATATATGGCATGTCGATAACACACTCCCCACATTAAAGAGTTGACTTGCGATCTTGTCCTCCTCACGTTGCTGCTTCTCAGTCTCGATCAAATCCCGTCCGGGTCACCAATGTGGAGAGCGTGTTATCGACTATGTCAACCTTTACTCGCCCATCAGAATTAAATGGATGTGATGTGAACATGCCTACCTTGACAGAAATGCGTTCACATACAATGTACAACATTTACACTCGACTGCTAAAGGCAACACACAAAGCGACCACGACCGTGAACTTAATACAGCTCTCACGCTCAGCATTTAAAAAGTACGGTGATCTTAATACAGCTCTCTCGGTTTCTCACAAAACAGCAATGAATCAACTAGTGGTATCCGTTCATCGAAGAATATCACAGATATAATTCTTATGGGGGAGTACTGTAGTGTATCTGCCACTAAAGGCATGTTAACTTGATTCTATAGAAAGTACCTTTTACTAGATGAAGGTTGACATAGTCGATAACATACTCCCCACAAACTTTTCAAATGTAACGTAGAATTACGTTATTCTGGTAATAATAATTTTTAAAAGAACAATCCTATTAAACTTTTAGTTTAGAAAACAAACAAAATCAAAAAAGTAATAATAACACTACCTAATAACCTTTAAATTACGGACGCAAAATTATTTATAGGAAAATAATAACTTTATGATTTATATCAATTTTATGCTGATAACAGCCAAACTGATATGAAAATTAATGTGGAAAAACTGGGTCCTACAACCTCATTTTCCGATTTTGACCGGGTTCAGGGTGTTTTGCCTAAGTCAAAGTATGCTCAAAGTTGTCAAAAATATGCCCAAACCATCTGAAACAAAAAAATTTGATGACTCGGGATATATTAGGCTGTTAGTGTGCTATAATTTGGTTAAGCAAAAATCTCTATAAATTATTTTCTCTTTTTCTGTCACCATTGGCAGCGTCTGAGAACAACGCATTTCTTTATGATACATTTGTTGAGGCCTATGTAAATGTTTTTCATTTTGAGTAGGTGTGTAGACAGTCTATGTGATACATTAACAACAATATGTTTTTTATCTATGCATTTCTTATGTGGTATTAATTTGAGGTACTTATTATGTCGTTGTTGGATGGATAACTGTTGCGTTGTATGATGGGAATCAAATCATCCTCTTCGAATTCTGGAGCATTTAGAATGCCAAGCGATGTTAATCTTTGTTCTTTGTTCCGAAAGACAACTTTGTTTTTGATGGAGGATGTTAATTTTTCTTTGTCTGTCTGGTTATGAAATTTAATCTCAATCAGATTTTTATTGGTAAAGACTTTTTTGACGATTGGTTTGACTATGGCCTCGTTGATTATCTCAAAGATGTTGGCTGGGTTATTGTAGTCATCTGTTCTGATTATTATTGGGTCTGGTGGACTAGGAGAATTGACAGCCTCGGCACATGTTTGTTGTTTTTCAGGATGTTTCATATCGTGAATCTGAGCTGTGAGGTCGATGATCTGATCCTCGATTCTTTGTAGCTGATTGGAGTGATCTTCAACTTTACGGTCTGTATGACAGGATAATGTTTTTATATTTTCGATTGCCTCCTTGCATTCTCTAAGATCTTCTGTGATGGCCAGTCGGGGAAAGTGCAGTTTGTCACTTTGCCAATTAGATGGTACAGTAGTGTGATGGATATCGGCATGATGAACTTCTATGCCTTCACTTTCATGACAGGATGTTGAACCGATCGACTCGGTGTGTGAGTTGAGACTTGGATTGGACGGTCCAGTGGGAGAATTGCTTGTAGCATGTGCTTCAAATGATGATACTAGAGGATTGATCTGTGCAGAGTGATCGACAGGAAAATTCTTTTCGTGAAATGTAGTTGAATTGAAAAATTCAGTGTTAGAAAGTGTACAATAACTTGGCGTTCTGTCCATTGAGGGATATTGCAATAGATGTGAAGACTCGCTTGAGGCTGTTACATTAATCCGTGCAGAGCGTCTGATAGGCAATTCGGAGGCATTTTGAGATAATGAAGAGTGTTGATTGACCATTGGTTTTTGACGTTTGCGTGTACAATCACGATTAAGCAAAATGTCACTAGATAGGTGAGGCGAAGCATTTCTGTCACCTGAAATTTTTCCACTACTGGAGTTCATTGTGGAGTTCATACTAAGCAGGTACAATAGTAAGAGTGGCAATGGCGAGTCAATCCCGAATTATCTTTCTCTCGCCGACCTGAGCCAAAACCTCTCTTAAATATTGATCCAATAGGCCTGCATGAAATAGTTAAACCTCGTAACCATGGTCTCCACCCTTGCTCCAGCTGAATGGTGAGAGGAGTTCGATCCATAGATAGACTATATTCTACCTACTTCACTGCTTTATATGGAAATCTCATTTTCATATTCACACAAGTTATCTTTATCCTATTTTTAAATTAGCACAACTGTAGCTTATTTCTACTACCGGTGCTGCAGAACAGTGTGAAGTATGAATCATGCAAAATAGGAAGTACAATACACTTATTACACTGTAAATTTGAAGTGTAACAATGACGTTGTTCTACGTCATTGCTCATTGTTGTTCTACGCCACTCTCTCGCAATATGACGTTGAACAACCCAAACAATCGAGTGAAGGGGCACTTTATTCCAGGTTAATACCAAATCGAGAGATCGTATACGATTTAAAGAGCGTAATTTAAGTCTAATAACTTAAAACTGAATGAACTTAACAACTGTCATTTGTTAACTGTAATTTGCAATTCAGAATGAACTGGTGATAGTTTGTTGTTGTTTTCCTCGCTGATATTCATCAATACAAACAAAAATTCGCCATTAGAATATGTGAGTATATTTTATGTTGCGTAATAAGAATAATTATATTTTAATATTTTGAGAGCTGTATTAAATGATTTTATGGTATATAATTTCTGTCCTTTACTATTCTGTTAAGCCTAGTTCGAATTCTCCGTTCTTTGTGCAGCGCGTATGATTAATTTAAAGACCATTTTTATTTTAAGCATTAGTGTATATAAGCATTCCAAATTAATGATATTTTATATTGTATCGTAAAAATAGTTTCACTAACTATTATGAGTATTTTATCTTTCTGTTATTATAAATTCCAGTGCTCTTGAATAACAAAAATGGTGACGGCTACCTTGCACCAAGTAATGTGAAAGAACATCACTTTGATGTAAAGTATTTGCCACCATTTTTAGCGTTGAGATACACTAAAGTTGTTTGCAGTGGTGTTAATTGTTTAGAAGGGGTTTCCTTTTCTTTTTTATCACAAAATGGACAAAAGTGAAGTTAAAACACTCAAACAAGGTCTGCATATATTCACGTTGTTTTGTTTCTTACAAGAAAGTTGAATACGCAATTTTTTTTTCTTAGAAAATACATCATACTTGTTATGTTCAATGTTGGTATAAAGAAAATGATGAAAAGGACGAGCTTATGACACCAGATGGAACATTATGTTGTGATATTGGTGGAGCGATGCCAACAGGGGTAAGACCATATTTTTTTTAAAGAATTTCCCGGCAATTGTCAGAATTTAAGTTACACTGCATTAGGCGTCATATTTCATAATTTCCTTAGTTTCAAAAGCTATAAAAAATCCAGTTTCCAATTCAGTAGAAGGGTAACTTGCACTATACTCAGAAACCATATAAGATTTTTATAACATTTTACCGGTAATCAATGTGAGAACATGATTACCGGTTTTGGTTCTCATATTGAATATCTGTAAGTACCCTTGGTTCTTCTAACCATATTTTTAAAAACCACTTTTAATACATGCATTTAGAATTTTTTCTAAAACTGAAATAAAATAAATATACTATAAGGAGTATCAAGTTGAAATTTTAGCTAGGAAGATACTATAGCACTATCGAATCCCCATTAAAAAGAAGGGATTAAAAAGATCAAAACTTGTTTGATTGCCGAAGGAAAGTTGGAGGTGTTTCTAATAATTGTTTTTCAAGTCCTCTCTGTTTCATCCGGTAATCAAAAATATTTTCATTTTTTCGGTCTCGTCTTTTGCAGCAGTTGATTTGTCAGATTTTTGTTTTTCTTTGTTTAAATAAGAATTTGCCGCTACTTTTTTGACTTCATTCTTGGATTCTATAAACATCACCTAAAAGTGGTAATTATGTGTGGAGTCTACTGCATCGAACATAGTATTAAGTCTGTGTAATTTGATTTGTAATTTTGAAATCTGGAGCAAAAATAAGAGAGGCAAAACAAAAGAAGGCAAGTTCACTAGGGCAACAGGAGTTGAGGCGGCATTGTTTACCANTTTTAATTTCCAATGAACTGCACAATCAGTCTTCCTGATGAGCAGACCTAGTGCGTTCTCCAGAGGTGGTATCCACTCTTTCAGGACTACCATAATGGGTGAGATACCGTTGGTCATGTTAATTTGGACGTCTAGTTTCTGCCACACTAGATGGCAGCTCCGAGACTCTATTTGGATGCTAAAGTGCACTAGGAATTTAAATTTTATTAAATTCAATAGTGGACAAAATATTTAATAAGTAGTGATTTAAATAGTGGACAAAAATCCTTTTTCTAAGTAATCATTTTTTGAATTAACATTTTAAATTAAAAGTGTATTGTTGTAACAAATTTGGTGAGTTTACAACTTTAATTTAATATTTTTGCTCACCAAATGAACTTAAATATTTTAAATACAATTTTAGCATTCATCACTTTGTGCATGGAACTAAAAGTTAAGTTCTAAATCATTTAACGAATATCTTAAACAGTAATTCATAATAGTATGTACACATTCATGTAATTTGCACCTAAAAATAATAATTGTGAAATGATTAATAAGATCAGACACCGATTTAAATAACTTAATGTAACTTGTAATGTATCTGCCACTTCAAAAATATAATTCCAATTCACTAGTATATATGGCATGTTAACTCGATTCTATAGGGCAGGGATGGCGAACCATTGGCACGCGTGCCATTTATGGCACGAGACACAATATTTTGGGCACGCCACCGATCACAATTGTTATTACAATAAGAACAATAGATAACTAGCAGGGCCGGGATAGCCTGGTCGGTAGGGCGCTGGGCCCATATCCAAGAGGTCGTGGGTTCGATCCTCGCCGGCCGAAGACTCTCCGTGTAGTAAATGGTGACTGATGCACGTTAAATCTGTAGAGTCTCAAAGTCCACCATGTTCCCACAACAAATCAATACCTCTGGGGGTACTGATCCAGGAGTTTCCTTGTCTTCTGGATTGGTTCAAAATTACAAGGCTACGGAGTTGAACGTAAGTAGTCGTAAACCCATGAAATTGGGTCGGCTGTTCAACGACGGTTATGAAATAAAATAAAATAGATAACTAGCAAAAAAAATAATAATAACCGTCCTGCCTAAACTTACATCTTACAACCTAATATAAGTTATTTGTCAACTAATCTATCATCTAATCTATCTAAATAGAAGTCACACTGATGTTCCTTGAGTTGTTTTAAGACATGGCAAAATGTTTTTTTTTTCTAATGTAAATAAAGAGTAGATGATAGTATTTAGTATTATTATTTCCCCAATAATCACGAAGTCAAAATTATTTGACGGCATGTCTATGACCTAATTATACAATTTTTTAGAAAAAATGGCACGTTGGTGTATAAAGGTTCGCCACCCCTGCTATAGGGGGTACTTTTTCATAGATGAAGGTTGACATTGTCGATAACACACTCCCCACATTAAAGAGTTGACTTGCGATCTTGTCCTCCTCACGTTGCCGCTTCTCAGTCTCGATCAAATCCCGTCTGGGTCACCAATGTGGAGAGCGTGTTATCGACTATGTCAACCTTTACCCGCCCTCCAGAAATAAATGGATGTGATGCGAACATGCCTACCTTGACAGAAACGCGATCACACACAATTCACAACGCATACACTCGACTGCTAAAGGCCACACACAAAGCGACCACGACCGTGAACTTAATACAGCTCACACGTTCAGTATTAAAAAAGTACGGTGATCTTAATACAGCTCTCTCGGTTTCTCAGAAAATAGCAATTAATCAACTAGTGGTATCCGTTCATCGAAGAATATCACAGATATAATTCTGGTGGGGGAGTACTGTAGTGTATCTGCCACTAAAAAAATATAATTCCAATTCATTAGTATGTAAGACATGTTAGTTCGATTCTATAGGGGGTACCATTTTATAGATGATGGTTGACATTATCAATAACATACTCCCTACAAACTCTTCAAATGTAATGTAGAATTACGTTATTTTAATAATAATTAAAAAAAAAACAATCCTCTTAAACTCTAAGTTTAGAGAACAAACAAAATCAACGAAGTAATAATAACACAACAGGTAAATACCTTTAAATTACGGACACAAAATTATTTATAGGAAAACAATAATTGTATGATTTATATCAATTTTATGCTGATGACAGCCGAACTGATATGAAAAACTGGGTCCTACAATGTCATTTTCCGATTTTGACCGGGTTCAAGTTGTTACGCCCAAGTCAAAGTATGCTCAAAGTTGTCAAAAATATGCCCAAACCATCTGAAACAAAAAGATTTGATGACTCTGGATATATTAGGCTGTAATTTGATTGAAAAAAAGCTATAATTTGGTTAAACAAAAGTCTCAATCAATTATTTTCTCTTTTTCTGTCAAATATTTTTCTTTCAAAGATTAAAAGTCTGCCTTTATGAAAGTACACTGCATACATTAAAAACTCAAAGCTTGAACACTTTCCCTTTTTTTATGTATGTTGATTTTAACTTTTAAATATTCAATAGTAAAATTTTATTATTGTCTCAATTTAGAAATGTCCCTAGAATTACATAGTTCCGACTGTAAAATAAACCCATCTAGAGACCCTAATTTAACACAACCTCCCTTTCTTCCTTTTTATTCTGACTAATCAATGTCCGAGTACTCCAATTCTTTAGACAGACAAAAATAAAATACACGGTTACAACAGCCCTTAAAATTTCCCGTTTTTTAAAAAAAAGAAGAAAAAAAATTGGAATAAAATTCTTCCATCTTGCTGACATGTTCAAACTGACTATTATTATTTTTCCTTTTTTTATTTTTAATACGTCAACAAGTTTTTAACTTAGCTAAATTTAACTCGATAATGATTCATTACTTTTTTTTGTCTGAAATTTTAGGAAGTACTTTGTACAATACAAAGTTCTTAGTTCTTTTGCTTTGTGGGAAAAATTTATAAGAATAGGAAAATAATCTATTTTTGAAAATGATGATTTTGACAATTGTAAATCATTAATGAACTATAATGCTGTTATACACTATCATTCAAAGACATTATTTAAATGGCGTTTCAACTCCACCATAGTTTGTGTATAAAAAGAACTACCCTCGCCACAAAGTCTATGGCCGGCTGTTGCTGCGGAAACAAGAATTAGCAAATTTCAAAGAGGGAAGCTTCTCTCTCCCCTGATTATCTTTTTCTCGCTGGTCCGAGCTAAAACCTGTTTTAAATATTTATCCAACAGCCCTGCATGAAATAGTTAAGCCCAGTAACTATAGTCTCCGCCATTACTCCAGACGAATGGTGAGAGGAGTTCTACCCATAGACAGACTATATTCCATCTACTTCACTACTTTATATGGAAGTCTCATTTTCATATTCACACAAGCTATCTTTATCCTATTTTTAAATTAGCACAACTGTAGCTTATTTCTACTGCCGGTGCTGCCGAACAGTGTGAAACATAAATCATGCAAAATAGGAAGTGTGGCGATGTTGTGCATAGAGGGGAATAAAAGGCACTGGTGGCATATATTATTTTATTTTAAACAATATGACTAAATATCCACATGACAAATTCACGGACACAACATAAACAAAACTAAATAAGAAGAAGTAACAAAGGGGAGATCTGCATGGCAGGCTTTTCAAATCGTTCGTTTACTCTCTCTCACTGTCTCTGAGTTTTCTTCTAGATTCTCGCTAGGTGGCGTTGCTAGTTCGTTTCGCTACAGAAGTACCATACACTTATTACACTGTAAATTTGAAGTGTAATAATGACGTTGTTCTACGTCATTGTTCATTGTTGTTCCACGTCACTCTCTCGTAATATGACGTTGAACAACCCAAACAATTGAGTGAAGGAGCATTTTATTCTAGATTAACACCAAATCAAGAGATCATACACGATTCAAAGAGCGTAATTTAAGTTTAAACAGTTTAAATTGAATGAACTTAACAACTGTTATTTGTAAACTCTAATTTGCAATCCAGAGAGAGCTGGTGACAGTTTGTTGTTGTTTTCTTTGCTGATATTAATCAACAGAAACAAAAATTCACCATTAGAATATGTGTGTATGTGTGTATGTTTTAAGTTGCGTAATCAGGATAATTATATTTCAATTTTCGGATGGCTGAGTATTAAATGATTTTATAGTATATAATTTCTGTCCTTTGCCATTCTGTTAAGCCTAGTTCGAGTTCTCCGTTCTTTGTGCCGCGCATATGAGTAATTTATAGACCATTTTTATTTTAAGCATTAGTGTATATATGCATTCTAAATTAATGATATTTTATATTGTATTGTAAAAATAGTTTAAGTAACTATTATGAGTATTTTATCTTTCTGTTATTATAAATTTTAGTGCTCTTGAATAACAAAAATGGTGACGGCTACCTTGCACCAAGTAATGTGAAAGAACATCACTTTGATGTAAAGTATTTGCCACCATTTTTAGCGTTGAGATACACTAAAGTTGTTTGCAGTGGTGTTAATTGTTTAGAAGGGGTTTCCTTTTCTTTTTTATCACAAAATGGACAAAAGTGAAGTTAAAACACTCAAACAAGGTCTGCATATATTCACGTTGTTTTGTTTCTTACAAGAAAGTTGAATACGCAATTTTTTTTTCTTAGAAAATACATCATACTTGTTATGTTCAATGTTGGTATAAAGAAAATGATGAAAAGGACGAGCTTATGACACCAGATGGAACATTATGTTGTGATATTGGTGGAGCGATGCCAACAGGGGTAAGACCATATTTTTTTTAAAGAATTTCCCGGCAATTGTCAGAATTTAAGTTACACTGCATTAGGCGTCATATTTCATAATTTCCTTAGTTTCAAAAGCTATAAAAAATCCAGTTTCCAATTCAGTAGAAGGGTAACTTGCACTATACTCAGAAACCATATAAGATTTTTATAACATTTTACCGGTAATCAATGTGAGAACATGATTACCGGTTTTGGTTCTCATATTGAATATCTGTAAGTACCCTTGGTTCTTCTAACCATATTTTTAAAAACCACTTTTAATACATGCATTTAGAATTTTTTCTAAAACTGAAATAAAATAAATATACTATAAGGAGTATCAAGTTGAAATTTTAGCTAGGAAGATACTATAGCACTATCGAATCCCCATTAAAAAGAAGGGATTAAAAAGATCAAAACTTGTTTGATTGCCGAAGGAAAGTTGGAGGTGTTTCTAATAATTGTTTTTCAAGTCCTCTCTGTTTCATCCGGTAATCAAAAATATTTTCATTTTTTCGGTCTCGTCTTTTACAGCAGTTGATTTGTCAGATTTTTGTTTTTCTTTGTTTAAATAAGAATTTGCCGCTACTTTTTTGACTTCATTCTTGGATTCTATAAACATCACCTAAAAGTGGTAATTATGTGTGGAGTTTACTGCATCGAACATAGTATTAAGTCTGTGTAATTTTGATTTGTAATTTTGAAATCTGGAGCAAAAATAAGAGAGGCAAAACAAAAGAAGGCAAGTTCACTAGGGCAACAGGAGTTGAGGCGGCATTGTTTACCAGAGTATTTTGGGAGGAGCATTTTAATTGACTTCAATAAAGAAAAAGTGGTTCTTAAAACAAAACAAACAATAATAACAGCTTAAAACAAGCAATAAAAACTGACGTTTAATTTGTATTAGTTGTAAATTTCATTTAATTGACTTTATTTTTTAATTTTATATCTTTAGAACTAACTTAATTTTCTTTTTTTCTTTTTCAGAAATGCAAGGAAGGAAAATGTGATCCTAAGGAATTAGCGTCAACAAAATTATTTTAGATCTTCAGACTGCTTTAATTTTGTTATATTTCTTATGAATGAGTGTTATTTCTCTGCTGACACAGCTTATCGCTTTTAAGTGATTTTAAAATTAAAAATGACAAATAAAAATATTTTCTTTTAATTTTACTCGTTTACTCGTTACAACGTTGGAACGTTTAGAGCATGTCAAGAAGTATTCAAGTTTGCTCCAATCTTAATACGGGGACTAAGTCCAAACATTTAATTATTGTATTTCTGAAACTTTAACCTAATTTTAAGAGATAAATAAGTATTATAGAGGTAAATACCGTTACAACAATTATTAGTTTTACGCTGTTGGGAGTCAACGATTTCTGAAATCTTCTCTGTTAATTTATGATTACTTCATATGATCAGTCTGTCTAATATGAATGCACCGATAACAAAGCGAAATAGTTTTTGATAGTTTTCTTTTCATGTTATATAAAGATATTTATTGTGAATTGATGTAGTTCATTTACGCCGCTCTAGAGCTGCACAATGGGCTATTGAGACGGTCTGAGATACATCCTGTGAGAATGATCCAAAGACATGCCATCACAATTTCGATCCCTGCAGAGAAGATGGCACCCCCGCTTCGATAGCCCGGCGACCTCCACGCGAAGTCGAGCACTTTACGTTAGAACATTTTGATGAGAAATACTAAGTAAAAATAATATGCATTCTGAATCTGAACAAATTCCTACTTTTTTTAAATTTATAAAAAAAAGTTTTGAACAATTTTATTTTATTTTTCTTCTAAGTGCACCATTAAAAAACTTTATAAGAACTCACAAAAACTGTATTACTGGAATTCCTACATGATTTATGAGAAAGGATGGTAACGACAGTTTTTGTCAAATTTACAAAATCAGGCCTTGCTATCTTTAAAATAAATGTAGATCCCTTATGAACATTTTCAGTTCCTCAAATATATATATATCTTGCTTTTCTAAAAAATAAATAACTGAGCCCCTTGCAAAAAGTTATAAAATTTAGGAATGCAAAATCATATATATATAAGCACACTGGACAAAAAATTAGTCACCCTTAGAGAAATAACATGATAATAATATGATAACGTGTAACATCGCATCTCGATTTGATAACCGCCTGAATTCGGTTAGGAAGAAAGTCCACAAAGTTTTGCAGGTACGTCGAATTCAGTTTAAGCCACTCGCAGAGGATTTGATCGCGCAAATCTACCAAATTGAGAGGATGCTGATTTCGGCATTTTACCCGTTGTTCCAACATGTCCCCCCAAATTTTCACTGGGATTCAAGTCAGGTGATTTTCCAGGTCAGTCGAGATGTAATTGAGTGTCTGAGTGTTCATAAAACCAGTCACAGATTCTTCCAGTCCGATGAACTTTGTTGTTGTCGTCTTGAAAAATAGGGATATATTGACAGCATACTCTTCATGAAGATGTTGACTGAAAGGCAACACCTGATCATCCAGAATGTTCAAATAAACATGATGGCTCATGTTAGTGGCCACCTCAGTGAGATGGCCCAATGCATAATAAGAACCCCCCCCCCAAACATGACAGACCCACCTCCGGCTTGAACCGGACCATGCACACAGCCAGGATAAAATGCTTCATCTGGTCTCCAGTGCACTCGACGACGTGCGTCCTTTGAATAGAGCCGAAAACGTGATTCGTCCGACCATATTACATTCCGCCAGTCAACAACTGTCCGCGTTCAATGACTTCTAGCCCACTGAAGTCGCGCAGCTTTTGTGCCAGATCGAGCAATGGTCTCTTACTAGGTATTCGACTCCAAATGCTCATTGCTTGCAGCACCCGTCTCTATGTTCTCTCACTAACAAGTTGGGATGAGCCTTCATTGACTAAATGAAGCAATTCCTGTCGGATTTGGAAGCGATTTTGATTGACAAGTCGTGAAACACGTCTCCGGTCCCTTTCATGCAGGATCTTTTTTCGAACACAATTATGATGGTGTCTTTCGTGACCACGTGCATTACACCACTGATTTTAGACACGTTGAACAGTCTGCATCGAAACACCAGCAAATTCATTCACCGAGTGACCATAGGGACGTCCAAACACAATTCCCCCTCTTTGCCACTCTGTCAAATATGGGTAAGTGTTGTCCTTACACTTACCCATATTTAGACACAATTTCCTCTTAAAACAAAAATATCTCACTGATTGCTACTTGCCTTTGATCACGTTCAGCACGTCACTTGACCACTGCGTCATCTAACGATTCATCGGTGCTTACGCACTAGGGTGACTTATTTTATATTTATATATATATATATATGTATGGCTGNATATATATATATATACTTTGTTTTCAGTAATAAGAAAAATTTCAATAACAGTAACAATTCAGCAAATTTTTCTAAAATTGATCGATCAATTGAATAAAATTGATTGAAACTACAAATAAATTTTATAATTACCCCCAAAGCCAAAGCTAACAATAGCTATGCAATCTTCTGTAAAAATTTCTGTATTGAACTTTTTAATAAGGAGTTAAAAATAGTAAAAATTTTAAGCTGAGTAATTTAAATAATAATATTATCATTAAAAAAAATGTAGCTTTATATAAGAGGTCAAAAATTAAAATTAACAATATACAATTTCTTTACTTAATTATCAGTTCAAAATTTCATGAAATTCCTATCAAGTTTAAAACAATCACATGTGTGTTTAATATTTACCTAACTAAACCTAGCACCATTTTCTCTAACTACTTAAACAAAATTATTAACAATATTAAAGAAGGTTTTCCTTGGATTATCATTAATAATCAACCGATTTTAGTATTTATTAAGCAAAATAAAATTCATTCTATTGCGACTTTTGATTTCCATGATATCTTCAATACAATTCCCCTTTCTAAATTAAAATATGTTCTTTTAAGTTATTACTATGAATTTAAAAATATTCATAATTGTGATTTTGATTATTGGGAAATTCTAATTAACATTTTTCTTCCTAATAATTATCTTTACAATGGAAAACCTTTTTTGATTCAAATTAATGGAATGTCACAAGAATCTATTTTTTCAACTCTCTTTGCTAACATATTTTTACACTCTTATGAAAAAAATTATACTCTTAATATTAAACTTGTTTTTGGATTTATTGATGATTCGATTATCTTTAATTTCAAATATTATATAATTTTGTTAAATAATATTTTACCCGAGAAATTAATCTTGTTTCATAATCATGATGATAATATCAATTTAAAGTTTTTGGATTTGGGTATTAAAAAAGAAGAAAATATCTGATCCGTCTATTACTGTGGATATTTTACTTCAGCACTGTGGTCGGTGTAAGACGGATGCTGAATTCGTATCGACCAGCTATCGCTGGAATTAGAACACGCTTTCACCAAGACAGAATAAAATTTGGAAACATAAAAATTTGGAATTATTTTCAACTTGAAATTAATACTCCGAAAAAAAAGAAATTTTTTTTGGTAAAATGTATTACCGATATTAAGTTGATTATTCTTATTCTAATATGTACTATATATACTAATACAGTTACCATGATATCCACTATAAGTACTGTGGATATAGGTTTTTATGATCCTCCGAAAGGAATAAGTATAGGAGAAAACTGTTGATTATTATGATAACTGTTTACTATCCGGAGTGGGCCTCGAGCTACAGCATTATGCCAAATGATACTGAATATCGTTAATTTTTTATTTTGATACGGCAAACATTTTTTACTTAATCTAATTAACCTCAGGGAGAGCAACAAATAATAATAACTAAAAAAAAAATGGAATTATTTTAACTTAATTAATTGTGCCAATATATTTCTTTCAATTTTGTGCATGATTTTATAAATATCATTATCAATTTATTGATTATTTAGTTTTGTTTCAACACGTATGAGGAACGAGTATTCAGGTTTTAACAATTATTATATACCGAAAAAGTTGCATAGTATTAATTTTCAACGCGACTTAGAAAAAAAAAATTAAATTTAATATAATTAATTGCGAATCAGAGACAGTAAAATTATATGCTAAATACATTTAAGAGTACTTTTTTTAAATTATTGATTCGTAAATAAAATCCTCATTCCTATTTAATTCATGGAATCTGCTGCTTCAAGTTATTCATTCTCACCAGAGAAACTTCAAGCTCCCTTCGCCTTAGCAATAGATGCAAAACGAATGATTTCAATAGTTTTTTGTTGATTATTTGTCACCATGTCATTTATCTGGTTCTTTCACCTGAAGAATACTCAAATAATGTCACTTACCTGGTTCTTCTACTGAGTATCTTCGGAATTAATAAATTTAGCACCATAATTGACTGTGATCTATTTAAATAAGACTAAAATAAGATCTTTTACCAAGAAAAACTAATTTTCTTAAAATACGTTATTTACCTGTCTTTCGAATAAGCTCTTCAAATAATAAAGTAAGTTTTTTTTAGAGATAAAATAAAAATACAACATGAAATACGTCTAATTTAAGATTGAGTGTGCCCATGTAATTTTTTTTAATGAATAATAATTTTATTAGAGATAATAGAATCTTTTCGACAAATTATGAATGTTTTAAAACAGAAATAATATGCGATCATAGGTATGGGCGTCGATCATTATCCCTCTTCGAGTTTGTTATTAGAAGAAACGAATTTATGAAAGTCAAACTTAAATAATAAATTTCTTATAAAACCATACTAAGAGCTGCAATGGCTCAGGGGATAGAGCGTTCGCCTGCCTTTCAATGAGGGGAATCAGGGTTCAATCCCAGCGATGGCAGGTCGATACGAATTCCGCTTTCGGCTTGCACCGACCACAGTGCAAAAATTCTTCTTTAATTCTCGCAAAAAATGAGAAAATTCCTAAAGTTTCTTTTAATCAAAGAGGAATAATCAATATTTGTAATCTCATATGTTAACTAGTTTAATACTTTATCCAAAATTATTAAATTTGTATGAGAAAACGATAATAATAACATTTGACAACTAGCGATCTTCACACAATTTTTATATTTTTTCGTCAATTTATCAATTTATCTGGACTATTTTAAATGAAAGTGACACTATTTCATTCAGCATATTATTTCCTACCTGGAACAGTGATGAATTTTAAATACTTGTTTTCGTGAGGAATGCTTTCTTGTGAGGAAAAATAAATGGCAAAATAGTTTTAAAACTTTTTCATGTGAATTCAGAACGACCTCTATTGCTAATGACCATGTGACTTAAAGTGACGTCAGATTATCCTTCTCCATTTATTTACTATGCCTATCTTCTATAAAAAAAAAAAAACTTTCCACCGAGTTTATTAAAAATATTTGGCAACGTCTGTCATGTTCTCCCATGAACCTTCATTCTGCAGCTTGCCCAAAATTTCCTTGACGTCACTTTCTCACTTTGCAAAATGTTGCAGAACAATGCGTAGGTTGTTAGCCTACGAATTTTAATTTAAATTGTTGTAGTATTTTTGAAAAAACTGTATTTTTTGCACTGCATTAAATTCTAATCAGTTCATCATGGCTAGTGCAAGTGGTTCTTCAAGATCAGAGTTTATTGTTGGTGTTAAATATCGATTAGTGCGGAAAATAGGAAGTGGTTCTTTTGGTGATATATATTTGGGAATCAACACCACAAATGGCGAGGTAATGTTTAGAATGTATTGGAATTCTATGTTGAGTGTATTTTAACGTTATTATCATGTTTGAAAAAACAGCGAGCAATAAAACATTTACCTATTTCCTTTGTATCTCTTGTAAACAAACAAATCAGGCCTTTATGTCTTTGTTTTGGCGAAGTGTCTCATACCTATATGTTTAGATTGAAATCATGGTTTCAGTCATTTATTATCATTGAGATTGTCAATTATTAATCAATTATTCCATTTTAATAATTTCGCATTTTATTTACAAACTGATCGTTCTTGTATTGTTAACATTTGAATTCACGAACCAACTTAAACATAATGTTGCCTTGAAGCATTTTGATTTGTTATGCCTTATTTTAAGTGTTTTGCCCCTTTGAATTGCAATATTTTACCCCTGTTACTTCAAAGTTATGTGGGAATTTCAAAGTTTAAAGCAATGTTCGAACAGTTTGAACACATCCTACTGTTATTATACATCACAATGGCGATAATAATTAAAATCTTGTTAGTTTTGTTTTAAATCTGGCAGCGATTATTTAAACACAAATTACTTATTTGAAACTAACGACAATTTCTACATTTTTGGTTATATCTTCTGATCTTTAATAAAAGGTAAAATAGTGTTTGATGTAAGCCTTCTTACATAAGCTCTTAATTATATTAATTAATTATGCTAAATATTTTAAATATATTTTTACTCTCAAAAATATGGAAATCTATTAATAAAGTATGAATTGCTGGTATTTGCTAGATTTCATAATAATATGAAGCTAATCTTTCAATAGCAAGTCTTACAATTTTGTAGCTGCTACTACAAAATTTTGTGTGAATTTCTAATATTTATTTATGGTTCAAATTTTTTGTGACTCTATCCTACTGTTAAATTATTAAAAGTTTATGGTAATTTTGGTAGTTTTTGTGTTTTTAAGTTTGTTAGTGATGATTTTAAATTACTGATTTGAAATAGCACAAAAGACAATAAAGTTGGTTCTAATTTTATTATGTTTACTCACTCTGTTTATTGAATTTTCTCATTTTATGAGCAGTTCTTGTTTGCTGTTTTGCTTAAAAATTCTATATTCATCTGTTTTATTTGGAAAAATGTTCTTCTCTGTCATTTGAAAATATTTTGTTTCAACTGAAGCTTATTTTCAGTGTGCTGTATTTTTTTTTAGTATTCTGAATATAAGGCAACCAAATTACTTAAGTTATAAACTTAATTTACGTACTTAAACTTATTAATATCAGCTTTGAATAAGCTATAGGTTATTAAATGAATTTTATGACTGACACCAAAATACATAATTATGCTATGCCACTAAGATTTAACATAACAATATTATTTTTCCTGTTTAATGCAAAATTTTAAGTCTGATTTGTATAATCTATTTTGATTTTGAAAATAATAAATGTATTTTTATTATAAATTAATAACTTTTATTACATCCAACACCCCCAGAAGCAGAAAGTGCCTAAAACTGTGACATATGTCGCAGAACAAACAAAGTCCTGCAGAACAATTTGTATCTTGAATACTTCTGTAACCATTTTTATCAAGAGAGCTTCTAAAGCAAGCAAAAGAATTAAATTCAGAGATTTCAAATTTTATAAAGTTCATGACTTTTTGTATTTTCTATTACCATTTCAAAAGCAATTTGTGCATCGTGGGATCCACGATTGACAGAATTGTTTCTAAAAGACCAAATGCTTTCGATGGAGAGGAAGTTGTTGGAACAACAGACCAACGAGTGTTTGCGTTTGCAAATGGTGCACTATCTGGGCACTTGTCACTTCGAAAACTTTTTAAAGCAGCCCTTATTTTAATGTTTGGACCTTCATATCATAGGCATTTTATTAATAATTCATCATTTTATTAATAATAATTCATTAACAAAATTTTTTACTTCAAAAGTGATTGAAAAAGTAGCAAATCAAGAATGTTTGCCTTGGTTTAAAAAATAATGTAGTGCATCTGTGTATGATCCTATAATTTAATAAATGAAAGTATAGTATTTTAACGTAAAGTTGACTTTTTTTCACTGTGAAATGCTTGCAGAACATTTGTTTAAATTAATAAGTCCTGTTGCAGAACATTTGAAAATATTCTGCTTCTGGGCCAACACCTATAGTAAAAAAAATAATAAAAAATGAAAGTATCAGCGCACATAATCTAAAAGCTCATAATATTTTATTTACTACAGAATGATTTTATTATTTTTCAAAAATGACAAAAATTATTTAACTATTTAACATATTTATTTATTCCGAACAAAAAAAAAACATGCACGTTAACATTAAGAAATTAGAGGAGATCTATCAATATAAATAGTTATAATTAAAAAAATGAAATAAAGAACTGCAATTATATTAAGTAATTATTATCTTCATTGAGAATTAAGTAATAATAATTTTGTTTCCGAAATTCTTCAATGTGAAATCCTTATTTAACTTTTCCTGTGTTACTTCGGCAACTATATTTCATTTTTATCTACAAAAGAAATTACATTAAAAGATTTCCTTCTGTTTCTGTAATTGTTTATTTGTGCTGCAAAGCAAAAATAAACGAAGTGTGAATATGTGCAGAGCGAAACGGAACAAATATGTACAGAGAGAGTCGTATGCATGCTGCTAGTAGCAGCATGCATAGGACTAAACAACTTTCTTCTACTGTGCATAAGTTATGACTATGTTTTCAGACTGATTATTATTTTTTTAACTTTCTTTTTTGTGCACGGTTACTTTTTTTTAAATATTGCAATAAATATTTAAAAAAAAAAAAACTATCAACAAAATTGGAGAATCTCTGCAAATATATCCAAGCACAGTGTGCGACTGTCTATATTACCTAACTATTCTGATGCTGTTTTTTTTTCTTTTTTTTTTTCCATTACATTTGTTTTCATCTATTTCCATCTCTTATTTCACTTTTCTTTTTAAAAAATGAAGTGAATTGTGAATAGAAACCAGTTTTCTTTAATGCTAATTTAGAATAATGTATTTTACATAAGTTACCTAATATAATCTGCTTAACTATGCTCAACTTAAAGTTATTTATATTAGATCGTAAAATTGATCAATGAAATTTTTTTATATGTTTTGTATTTTAATTATTTATTTCTTTTTAGTTTTTGAGGAACAACTTAACTTTCATTTGAACATTTTAAATCAATTGTTTTGTTGAGAGCTTGAAAAGCGTATCTGATTTTAAGCAAAACTCCTTTCAGAATATTCTGTTTTTTTTTTTTTTTTAGCTACTTATTTAATTATTTTTCTGAAAAAAGCAACTCGGGTTCGTGTTTGGAAACTGTTCTTGAGTTTAAGCAAATACTTAGACTTAGGTAAGCTAAGCACATATGCCATATGCATTCAGATCTAAAGTTCAAAATTTTGCTAATACAAACAAAAGTGCAGTTAGGACTTTAAACATTGGGAAGAAACTTAGTTTTTGCACCCGTCGTTACGTAAATATTCTATACACATTGATGATTTAATGTCAGGCTTAAGGGGACTTTTTGGATCTAAGTTAACCTATTCTGTAAAACTATTTCATGACTTAAACTTTACATTTATTAAGATTTCTCAAACTTAAATCAAATGTTACTAGGCATCGTAAAAACTTCCATTCAATTTGGTTTAAAATTATCTCGGAGTAATTTGAAAGCAGTATACTTTATTAATGTATAGTGCATCTTTCAGGAGGACTCCAGTCTCTTGTTGTGGCGGGTACCATGGTTACGAGGAAAAGTCACTTCGAATAGGGGTGTGGGGTGAATAGTTTTGTCTTGATCTTGACATAGGTCTATGTGAGTAAATCAATCTGCACCTTCATTTCTCCATTACAACCCATAAGAAATGTGTTCTCGCTTGTTACCATAGCAGCAGACAGCCACAGACTTTTAGTCTGGAGGAATTCTCCTCAAAGCCCTACAATATGTAGTTTTTATTGCATTTAGATGTTTATTGTTTTTGATTGAAGGATAAGTGTTTGTTGTTTCTTATTATCATGACAATTTTCAAAAAATAAATAGAAGAATAATAAACCTATGCGCTAAGCGAACTACAATAATAATACACATTCAATTTTTAGGTATATAGGATATAAATTTGAAGTAGTTATTGGGCCCGAAATTGGCAAATAAAACTGGGTAAAAAGAGGTAAAAATTATTCTAGAATTGATTTTTAACTATTTTTCACAAATTTGGTGCACTAATGTTGCATCCAAAGACCTGTGGTCTTTCTAGTCTCCCTAGCTCCACCCATATATATACAAGTAAAATGTATATCAATAAAAATAGTCTGCTTTAATACATCAAATACAATATATTGCAAATATTGTACAAATTGTTTATTTAATTTTATTCAGGCAATAAAAGGTACTTCAATAATCATTTTATCTACTTTGAAAGATCTTTTTTTTGGGAGACATTTTTTTTATCGCGTAATAATACAGTTTTATTTTTTTTTTCATGTACAACATATTTTTCAATAGATTTCTTTTTATTGTATTTAAAAGTTGTAAAACTTTTATTATATTTTTAGTGATAGTTATTAATTTTTTTTATGCCAAGATTTTTAAAATAATTAGATATATTAGAATATTGTTTAAATAGGAGTTGTATTTACATTATTGTTAATATACAATGCACGGTTAAAATTAAAATTAAGTGATTTTTCAACCAACTTTTACAATATGGAAAATGCTATAAAATACATTGATCCACCTATTCCAGCAGGAAATAGGACAAAATTTGAATTTAAAGAAGCTATTCCATGGAAAAAATGTTTATAATATTAAAATAGAAATTAAAGTGATTTTCATTATTTGAAATTGTATTTATTAATTTAAATGTATATCTGACTTGAAGAATACGTCCAACACCAAAGTAAAAAGATTCAAATTTATTGTAAATCATATTTTACAAGTTAAGAACTGCATAGAATTCTTTATTAAAATCTCAACTACAAAATTGAGTCCGTTTTACTTTTAAATTATTAAT